TTTAGTCAAGTCAAATAGTAGAACTTTTGTTTGACCATATATTTCATTATTCATCTAAAATAAAGATAAATAAGTTTCAACACTAATAGATTCACGAAAGTATCAGTATATGCAATTGCTCTTGCTTTTATTATTGTCATTTGTTAAACATAAAATTGTCCAACATTCCTTTAGTATTCTCATCGATCACGAGTACTATAAAGAAAAAATGCCTCCAAAATACTGAGGCGTGTAGTTAAGGACAACTACTAATTAAGTGTAGCCTTGGCTTACACTCAACGAGTACTCCTTATAGATCCTCCACGTGCCATTGTCCAAGGAGAGAATAATGAAAGTTCTATGCCTCCATCTACTCACAACACCATGCAGTTTTCCAAAAATGATATAATATCCATGCTATAAATTAGGCTTTTGGGAAAGTTGCATGAACTAAGAAACTTAAAGAAAGGGCAAAGAAAAAGAAAGCCAAAAGGAAGCAGTCCACCTTCTACGCCATTGGCTAATAGTTTCCAAAAGCTAGAGGGTGAAGAGCATGGTATGAAGAAGAGGCCGTACTAGGAAACAAAGGATTCAAAAGCTAGCTAGCTAGCCAGCCATCCATGGCTACAAAATCTTCCCGGACAAGAAGCACCGCTCCGTTTCTGTCGAAGACGTTCGATTTGCTAGAAGAAAATGACGGAGGAGATGGTGGTGGGAAGAGAAATATTGTGTCATGGAATGTAGAGGGCACTGGATTTATAGTATGGTCTCCTGATGAGTTCTCAGAGCTCTTGTTGCCTAAATATTTCAAGCACAACAATTTCTCCAGCTTCATTCGCCAGCTTAATACCTATGTGAGTCGCCTTTTCTTTCTATCTCAACAATTTCGGTCTATTAGATTTGAACTCAAAGTTTCATCGGCTAGATTTAGCATTCTATCTTTATACAAATAATACATTTATGGAAAATATATGTATCTTATCGAAGGTTTAGAAAGTTAAGAATGTTATCTTTGGTTATTTCTTATCACTTGATTAAGAACCCAGTATTTCATGGATTAGAGAATAAAATCAGGGTTTGAACCATTTACTGGTCTACTCATTAAAAGATTGCTTGGATTGAGGACGATGGTTTTCTGTTTGGTTAGAGTAGGTTGTCCTTCGTGTGAAGTCCAACAAACACATGTGCTTCGCATCATCGATTTGTATTGTTTTAAGCTTGAAAATTCGCCACACATGAGAATGAGTATTGAGAGGGACCTTGCTGGTGGTTATAAGAAATTGAACTATTTCTTATATTGCCAATTAGTTTTATAATTGTAACCCTAACTTTTCTCCAACTTATACCTCTCCCGGTACAACAGTAGTCAAACAACAAGAAAATATAATTATTTGATAATAAACCATAAACTTATACCCACTATGAGAAATACCTGCTGTAACTGCAGATTTATCTCATCTTAACATGTTTTCTATAATTCTCATGTTACTTAATTTGACGTAACGTGAGAGAGAAAAAAAAGAAGAGAATTTCTCAGTTTCACACTAGAATTTCCAAAATAAATCCATTTTTACCTATTTTCCTTTTGATCACAGTATTTCCCTGGACCCTTCAACTATTTTAGCTAAGGTAAAATCTTATTGTCCCTTATCTTAATTATTTTCAATCAATTATTTTCAAATCCATGCGCATCCGTGTGTTTGTAATCTAATTAGCAATCATTAGCAGTTCAATGACTAAATTTGGTTTTGGAATAAACAAGTCTAATCGTAGTAGGTACCCTTTTATCCTTTTGCAGGAATATGGCCTCTTCAATTTTGTCTAATACCATCCTCCCAAAACAAAATTGTTTTCTTAGTCCAACGACAAGAATTTTAGGTAAAAGATGTGTATGCTTGGTTTGTGAGCGCTTTTAAAATAGTTAAAAACGTCTTTATTTTTTTTTACAATATTTGGTAAAAATAATTAAGCTTTTTCAATTACAATACTATTTTTTAGTACTTTTTGAAGTCTTAAAGAAGCACTTGCGTTCTTGGTGAAAATTTGGTTGTGCTTCTAGTAAAAGAGCTTATGATCATGAACGATGAGCTACATATATCCTAGGTTATTTTTTTATCCCATAATTCGATTGGGTTACAACACACTCAAACCATAGGCTTGGTTTGTGCTTGCTTATGAGCAAAAGTGCTTCCTATAAAAGCAGCCCCAACATTAGTCAGAAGTTTAGCTATTTTAACTTGTGATCCTAACCCTAAAACCCTAAAGCAGGGATTCAAAAAAACATCACGAAAAGAGTGGGAATTTAAGCATGAGAAATTCCAGAAGGGCTGCAGGGAGATGCTAGTGGAGATCACCAGGAAGAAATGCGAACCAAGTGCTTTTCCAGTGTATCTAAGGGCTTCAGAAGAGAGTGGGAGCACAAGCACTGCAGTGGCAGCAGCAGAAGAAAACAACTGCCTGCTATTAATGGAGGAGAATAAGAACCTGAGAAAGCAGAAGTTGGAGCTGCAGGTGCAAATAGCTCAGTTCAAAACACTTGAAAGTAAGCTGTTGGACTGCGTTGCTCAGTGCATGGACGACCATCAGAAAAAAGTTCGATGCTGATGGCACACTACAAATTAGTTTGGCTTTATGGAATCTATGCTGCCCTTCTGCAGGGTCTTCTTGGTTTTGGTATCAAGGTTTTGTCAAATTATGAAATAACCATCGAGCTAAACCGAATTCAAGAGAAACTTTTGGGTGTGACCGTGACAATGTTATGTAAAATTACCAATCTAGTCATACAACTGTTATTGGACTAATGTGACATTAATTCACTGGGCATGCGTCATAATTAAAACAATATCTCTAAACAATTTCATTCAAGTGGACGACCTGTTTTAGCCATTTGTATGAATAAAAGAAATTGGCAATTCATCACAAGAATACTAATTGTTGACCATAATTGTTGGTGGACAAGTTAAATAACTAAATGGACTTTAAATCAACTTGAGTTTTTTCTAAAAATGATCTTTAATTAATGATAAAAAAAAAAAAAAAAAAACAAATGGTTCTGATTATTTTTGTTGTTCGATTAAATAAAGAAAGTTTATCATATTGGGAATTAGGATTTTGGTTAGATAATGTGTTTGTTTGTATCAAAAGTAATTGGAAAGTCCTCTGCTTTTGTAGTAATGTGTTATAGGTTGCAGATTTCGGAGTGGATGAATCAGAAGGGGATATGCACATTTTCGCCGGTTGAGCATGCCGTGCAGCTGGATTTAATTGGGAAGGTGCGCGCGTTTGTTCCCACAAAGAATATTTCGATAATTTGAGGGAGGAAGATAAGAACTTCAAGACTTATGGTGCTCTTTTGAATTGCTATGTCCGGCAGCGCCAAGTGGATAAGTCCCTCGCTCATTTGCGCAAAATGAAGGAGATGGGATTTGTTTCTTCACCTCGAACCTACAACGACATCATGTGTTTGTATACAAATGTTGGCCAGCATGAGAAGGTCGCGGGCGTTCTAGCTGAGATGAAGGAGAACAATGTCCCTCCCGACAACTTCAGCTATAGAATCGGCATCAATTCATATGGTGTGAGGTCTGATCTTGAAGGAATGGAGAAGGTTTTTAAAGAGATGGAAAGCCAGCCTCGCATCGTTGTGGACTGGAACACATATGCTGTCGTTGCCAATTTCTATATAAAAGAAGGCCAAACCGACAAGGCAATGGATGCTTTAAAGAAGTCGGAAGAGAGGCTGGAAAGCAAAGACGGACTTGGCTACAATCATCTGATTTCGCTCGCGAGTATGGGTAATAAGGGTGAAGTTTTGAGATTATGGGGTGTTGAGAATAGTGCTTGTAGGAGAAGGTGATGGAGGAGTGGGAATTGTCCGGAAACTGTTACGATTTTCGGCTGCCACAAACTCTCATTATAGGCTACACGGTAAAGGGATTGTATGGGAGAGAAGAAGCTCTGCTTGAAGACTTGATGGAGAAGGGAAAAGCAACCACCGCGAGAAGTTGGGAAATAGTGGCTGCCGGGTATGCAAATAGGGGTGAGACGGAGAAGGCTTTCAAGTGCATGAAGGCGGCTCTCTGTCTGTCTTCCGAGAAACGGTGGAAACCTAACCTTCGAGTTGTGACAACCGTATTGAGTTGGCTTGGTGATGAAGGCAGTGCCGAAGATACGGAAGCTTCTGTTGGAGCGTTGAGTAATGTCATCCCAGTGAACAAGCACATGTATCATGCAGGCATGTGTCAGAGAGGGTAAAGAAGTAAGTAGTGTTACGGATCGTATGGAAGCTGATGAAATTGATGTTGATGACGAAGAAACAGAGAACTTCTTTGCCACTAGAGAAAACGAATAACACATCTCCGCAGATTAGAACATCTGTGGAATCTTAGGGCGTGGCGAAAGTTCTGCGAAAACAGATTTTAAGACGGTTTTTGTGGAGTGTCGCGATTAAAAACCCTAACAATTTATGTGAAAAATGCGATTGTTGAGATTTCGTAAGATTTTGCCGAGTGCTGTGAGAAAAATGTTATATGCCATAAAAGCATTCTTACCATTCGTCGGACCCTATCCGTTGTTGTTTTAGAATTTTCAAGCTGAGAAACAGAAATTCTATCACACAAGACAACTATTTAGAGCTCCTTCAAAAAATGTTATTAAAATAATTGAAAAGCGCGTTTACTTATAGAAAAAAATGTTTCTTGATTTCAAAGTATTTTCTGCACGAAGCACCAGTTTATGCTTCTTGCAAGAAGTATTTAAGTGTTTTTTCAAAATTTCCTTGCATGTTTACTAAAAATTGATTCCAAAAGTGTTTCACAAAAGCCTTTCTAGCGATTTAAAAAGCAATTCCAAACGAGCTCTGAATCATTTAAGAAATCTCATTTCCTCCACTGCCTTTTAGTTTTAGCAATTAGATGAACAAATCAACATAAAATTATGGGACAAAATTCAGCCGAAGCATGCAAAACGTCCAAAGGTACCATATGGCAACAACTAAAATTTGAGCAAAAAGCAAAAGCAGCAACCGATAAACTTGATGATCTTGCTTAGAACTATGCCAAATAACCCCAAATTTGCAATCGTCGATTACACAGGAAAACATATGAAAGCGTTTAATAAGACAGCATCTCAAGCAAACTTTTGGAATGTGTATAATGTCAGCAGACACTGCATAACATCAGAATAAAAATTGCTTTGCCGGGATTATTTGACAAAACGAGACAGCGCTTCACTCTGTCAGAGTAGCTTTAAGCTCTCCGTTGCTTTTCAGCTCCATCACGATATCACAACCTCCGATCAGCTCACCTTTGTAATATAGCTGAGGATACGTTGGCCAGTTGGAGAAGACTTTGAGCCCCTGCCTCACATCCTCGTCGGATAAAATATCAAAGGACCCAAAACTCACACCCTCTTCTCTAAGGGCATTCACGACCTTGGAACTAAAACCGCATCTGGGTGCATCGGGTGTGCCCTTGATGAAGACCATCACTGGTGAAGAAGTAATCAATTTCTTTAAACGATCTTCAAGTGTATCTTTCGGAACAATCCCTTTCTCTGCCAAAACCTTCTTGAGCTCACCACTCTTTTGCATCTCCAATACAATATCTGATCCACCAATTAGTTCACCTTTGATGTACAGTTGAGGATAACTAGACCAGTTTGAATAAACCTTAAGCCCTTGACGGACTTCTTCATCAGAGAGAATATCAAAACTCTCAAAGTCCACCTTTTCTTGCACAAGGATATCGACCACCTTTCGGCTGAAACCACACTTGGGTTCATCTGGTTTTCCCTTCATAAACAGCACAACAGGGCTTTTATTAATCAGGCTTTCGAGTCGAGAGTTAAGAGTTTCACTCACACCAGTAGATGCTGAGATTCCACCCTTTCCGCTTCCAGCTTCAGTTACTTTTGCCCCAGCAGAATCAGTAGTATCAATTCCATGGTCTCTGAAAACTTCCTTTAATTCACCACTCTCATGCATTGAAATTGCTATGTCACACCCACCAAGAAGCTCCCCTTTGCAGTAAAGCTGCGGAAATGTTGGCCAGTTAGAATACTTCTTCAACCCCTCCCTGACTTCACTGTCCAAAAGAATATCGAAACTTCCATATTTGACATTCTCTTCCTTCAAAATGTCAACAACTTTTTGGCTGAATCCACATTGGGGCGCCTCAGGGCTACCTTTCATGAAAAGCATGACTGGATTGGAGTCAATCAGCTGCTGCAACCGCCTTTTCAAGGCATCAGCACGGCCATTTTGCACTTGAGTTTTCACCTGGGAAGAACCATTTTCTCTTGCTAACTCTTGGACTGTTTCGAGTATGGTCGGTCCAGCAGCCATCCCAAGGCTTGCAGGAGCAGCAGGTTCTCCAGGGTTAATTGATCCCGCAATCCTAGCAACCTTATTGGCCAAACTGGATGGATCTGCACCTTCTAATGTATCGGCAACCTTTCCATCCTGACAAATGAAAACACAAACAATGACCAAGAGAAGAAAAATACAACAGAATTAATTACAAAAGTTCATTAACAGCATTCATATGGGATTATCTCAGTAAATTCAAACTTTACACGCTTTATCACTTATCCGATTAGAATGAGTATCACTATATTGCATGTGACAACTAAGTTTGCACTACTTCATCTTCCAAACTCATGAGTCATAAATAATCCTGAAATAAATAACTTGAAAGTAGCAGGCCTGGTTATCTTGACAGAGCACGTCTCAAGTCGAAGTATAACAAACCAAATCACCATCCAAAATTCTCTCACATCTAGTAATTCTTCGGGGCGGATAGGCATTCAAATTGATAAGGTGTAACATAAGGCTTCTTTTAATATCTGATATTCACATCGCAATCCATGTTACCATACTCAGATCCTAGTCCTTCTCCAGTCACACACACTAACAAAGTGTTCCAATTGAACTTCTACCACCCTCTCTCAAATTTTGAGTTTGGCATCATAAACGGAGCGTATTAATACTTAATTCTCTTTAGATACAATCATACCGCCGCTATTATCCTATAATTAGCAATAACAATAAACCCCTAAATCAATTGTAAACCACCTGCCACCAGATGCAAATTAAATACCCCACCACATTCACACAACCTGATTAACCAAATGTAAAACCTGTTTTCGCATTCGAAATTGAACAACCTAATCATGCTTATTCAAAAATCACACAGGCAGCATCACAATCACCAAGAAAACACGTATAAACCAATAAGCATACCTTCACAAAGGCGAAAAACGGCACAGCAGATACCGAATAGGCCTCGGATATCTCCGGCTGTTCCTCAGCTTCAACCTACAAGTTTACAACCAAAAGTAGATTAAAATTTAAATTAAGAAATATATACACACACACACACAAAGCAGAAAAAGCAAAAACCTTTAGAGCAGAGGATGAAACGTTACCCTTAAGAAATGAGCGTGAGGGAAATCGGTGGAGAGATGGGCGAAAACCTCGTCCATGTGCTTGGAAGCTTCACACCACGACGCCCAGAAGTGCAGAACCACCGGCGCGCCGCCGTGAACGAAGCTATCGAGCTCCTTCTTCGACTGCACATCCTTCACTGAGCCACCCATCGAGAATGGAGTCTGCTGAATTCGGAAACCCCAAAACCAAAAGCGCGAGAGAGAGAGAGTGTGTGAGGGTTTTGAAGCTGCTTATTATATCAGAGCAGAATGACCATGGAAAGGCCTAGAAGACGCACTGGGCTTTTGCGAGCGTATTCTTTCAGCTGACGAATCGTGGAGGTATGCGATGGATCATCTATCGCCGTTGATTTCTCTTGGGATTGATTCCTCTATCGTGTAGGTGTGAGTCCTATCCTCACGATATTGCTCGGTGAGTTTGGAAAGGGGAATTGGATCCTCTTCTCAGGAGATCAGGATCCTTCTGACTCACTAACACAGGTCGTTAGATTTTAATCCAACGGTTACAAACAGATGGTCCTTTTAAAAGTTATAATAATTGTAACCGTTGGATTTTGATCCAACAGCCCATATTAGTGAGTCAGGAGGATCTTGATCTCCTGCTCAGGAGAGGATTCAATTCCTGGAAAAAGATCTTCTCCGGATCTTCTTTGTGGGGATTCGGATGATCAATTAATCGCGTTCGTTTATCGTATATCGTGCGGTTAAAGATTCTTTTGAATTTTGAATTTAAAATTAAATATAAATATTACTTAACGAAAACTGATCGCAAGGTGTACGATAAACGGACACGGTTGATTGATCTCCGGATTCCACAAAGAGGATCCAGAGAGTATCCTCGTCCAGTGAGTTTTAGTTGGGCATGTGCCTCCGCTAACTCCACTGTAGGGGTGCAACTTAAGTTGGATCAACTTGAATTCAATTGTGTCTAACTCAATTTAATAACCCTCTTAAACTCAACCCGACCTCAATTAAATCTTTTATTAGGTTGAGTTGCGTTGATTTAATGTTTTGCCCGTCCTATGTCAATCTAAATCTAACTCAATTTTGAGCAAAATTTGCCCATGCACATACTACCAATCTCACTTCATATTATTATATCATATATATATTTTGGAATAACTATAAAGCTTGTTATCGGGTTTTTATGGATAAAGAATGATAGTGCTATTTTTACTTTTTTTTATTTTTGCTGTTGTTGAAGTTTTGGTATACATCTTGTAATTTAATTTCAACTTTGCGAGTTTGAACATTAGAAATAATCTCTAAGTTGTTTGCTTTAACTTTTGTATGGATGGATGTATAAATGAAATTTTAATTAATTTTAAATTATTTTTAGAGCATCCGACAGGTGACGATAGAAAACATTTTCTTGCAATGCTTGAATCTTGATACGTTATATTGTCGGACTGTAAATATAAACAATGCATTTGGTTAATTATTACTTTAATGCATGGCGTAAATTCACAATCTAACAAGATAAAAGAACATTACCGTGTGGGTAAATCTGAAACATTCAATCCAAGATCTCAAACAAAAGATAAAATAAAAGTTTAGTCCCAAGCCAATACATTGCAAATGCCTCTTCTTTTTTCTTTGGTAATTGGAGATTTTCACTACTCAAAAGAAAGTATACATCATCAGTTCCAGCTCCTTTCAAAATCTTAATCACATTTCGCAAAATTTTGTTACTTTCTCCTCCAACGATTTGGTCGTCGATCATCCCTAAATCTCAATCTCATAAGCACCTTTTCGAGAAAGCACTTGAATTCATTTCTTTGTGAGAAATGTTAATTGCTTTCGATTAACACTGTCTAATTGGATTAGTATTGTTCCAGCATTTTCTCCTTCGGTCCACTTAATCGATTCTTCCTCCAGTAGCTTCAGAACCTGTGTCAATTCGAAATACAAAATTCAAATAATGAAGCATTTGCTAAACAGATGCAGCAAATAATTATGAATCAGTCTTACCAATGATCGTCTTCGAGATCCTTTTGAGATATCTTCCTCTTTTGTATCGCATATGACCTTAAGATACTTGATTGCTGACTCGAAGATTAGAGACGATTTCAATAAACATGAAAAGAAGCTAAAAGAAAAATAGGAACACAAGAACAATTACTTACATGAGATACCAGAAAACGAGGAAATTTGACACTTCAAAAGACGTATTGCCTCCTTGGCACCGCGTTCTTGCAAGTCAAGAACTATTTCACCTTGAGTCTCAACATTTCTGACAAGTAACAAAATAAACGAAAAAAAGAAGATAATAATTAGCATTTCTGACAAGGAATACAAAGCAACAGATGACAGAACTTATGAGAAAATGGATTCTAACCTAGTTTTCAGAATCACTTCATTCGACTCATCCTCTGCTTCACGCGCCTTTTTGAGGAAAAAATGTCCCTGCGGTAGCACAATAGAAGTCATAAATTAATTTTCTCGACGCAAAAAAAATTACTAATGAGGGGGTTGTTCTACACTTGAAAATTTGATATCTTATACTTCTAGCTTAGATGCATGAGCAGGTCAGGTTCTGTATCAAACTACGCCTCGTTCAATTTTTGAAGCACAGTCACAAGATGCTGTCATTCTTTGTTACAGAATCTAGTTCTTTTTCTTTTATTTGTATGAAAAAAAATACAAATCATATCCAATCACTTCATAACATAAAGATGGAAACCTTACTTGTTCTAGAAGTTTGTAAGCTCGATCATGATCCTCCTTAGCAAATGCGGCCACAGCCTAACAAATGAAATGATATCCTTACTCAATAGTGTATAAAAATTTAAGGCTACTAAGAGACACTACCCTCCATGTTTTATATATCAAACAATTGCACATAAGATAAGCCATAAAAAGATACATACAGCCTGGTAATAGTCCTTCATTGTACTCCGATACTCCTTCACAGATCTACGGAGAACCTGGTAGCTATCTTCGTCATCTGCATCTGTAGTTCTAGCACACTTTAATTATAAAGGAAAATACAAGCATAAACATGAATTTGACAGACAAATTGACACGAGCAACACACATGGAAATTAGCTACGGCCTCAATATGTCTTTTGGATTAATCTGGATTTCATAGGAATTGAATAAATTCTTAAGGGTACCATTCCCTCCACAAAGGATATTAGGGAAATGAAGTTTCTCCCATATACAGAAAAGGGTGCATACCATCCTCGCCATGATGATGTTGATACACAACAGCTGACTTGTACTCTGAAATGAAATCGTTCGGAGGTTCAGCAACTAGTTGTCCATATGCTCCATATCCACTCCCTGACTTTATTGTTCTTCTTGGTCTCTCCACTGGTCTCTCCTCGGTTCTCTCGGAAGCACAAAACAGAGAAGCCAGAATATCCTTCTCGAGATCATTTCTCTCCTTTTGCTGTCCAGTAAATTCTGCTCCGTTTGTATTTGAAGCACTATCTCTGTTACTGCATGAGACGAGTACAGACAAATCAGAGTGTTTGTTATAATAAACTAGGAACTAATGAACTATAACTAAAGTATTGAAAATGCATACACTTCGGTGGAGTTTTTGGAATTTCTGTCGGATGATACTTCATATTTCAGTGACAAATCTGCAGACTGGACAATAATCTCAAATAAGACGGAAAGGGAGATAAATACCAAAGTACAATTTACTAAGCATGCTGAACCGATTTCATGGACTAGATCTTACAGTACCTAAAACCTAAATGCTACACAAAATGAGCCGCCCTGTGCATCAAAACTATGACAAAGCAATGAAGACATTTTTACTTTCAAATATTGATTACAACAGCTGCACAAAACTGCATGAGTACATCCACTTAAATGAAGTGTGAACTCTCTTCGTCTTTACCTCCTTATATGAAGTTAAGAAATCCAAAAGCTTAAACAAATTATATTATAAGTGAATTAACTTTTCTGAAGAACTGATTGGAATGTACATTAGTGATGCAGCTTGACATGTTATTGTTTAGAAATCAGAAGGCACACAAATCCCGTTTTGGAAGTGTTACTAACCTTCTCACTGGATTTTCTGACAAGTTCGTTCCCTTTCTCGGAAGTTGATGCTGGCAGATTGATCAGTTTTTCCATGCTCTGAATGGTATTAAAAGGAATTGTATAACATCAGCAAATGGGAAAATTATTTTACACATACATCATATAGTAACGAAAAGGCTACAACAGTTGTAAAGAAACTGCCCTTCAGGTTTCGAGAAGTAAAAAGCGTTTAGTGTACCTTTTCCATATCATATCTACAACTATCTGCATATTCCAAATAAACCAGGATTAGCGTTCATACATTAAGGTCATTGAACAAACAACGCTTAAATACAACACTAACATCCATCAATTGGATCCAAAGTAGTCATCTTAAATCTACAACCATCAAACAGATTGCAATCAAAACTTTCAACACTCAGTTCATGCACTAAGTCTTTCTTTTAATTACGGTATAAGGATCATACATTGCCCCAACTTAATCATTTTCTTACTTTTACTCTCGTCTTCCTTCTCTAAACCAACTCACTCTTGCCCTCTACACTTCAATGTTCTTTCTTCCCACTCTTCACTCCCAACTCCGATAACCATGAGTGTGTACGATACTTCAAGTGAGTGAGTGAGAACGTCTAACTGTAAAAGCATTATATCATCTCCATTCGAGAAATCCAACACGAGTGAAGTCATCAAAACTAATAAACCACATTATGCTAGAGAAAATTCAAATCATCCTTAACAATTTCAACAACCATTTCATACTCGTAAAGACTAACCTTCATGTAAATTTATAAACCAAAGAACAAGACAAACTGAAAATCTCAAAACAGAACAATAAGGATCGAACTTTACCAAGAACTTGCCGAATCTGATCCCTCTCTAGCTTGAACCCAACTCCAAGCATACTGAACAGAAAATCCTCGATGCCCTGGTGGAGCCGTTCATCCCTTGAGGAACTAGACTCATCGTTTTCGACCCAAATTCCCGACATCGGCAACACACTGGAGTCCAGCTTCAAGGGCTTGGTTGCTTCATTAGACCCATTTGCCGGCGCCGGAGCCGTTTCCTTCACATACTGCTTCCCAATAATGCTCGAAACGCTACCAACCGAAACCGGCCGATATTTCGGCTTTGAAGCTCTGGGATTCCCATTCCCGTTCCTATTCCCATTCCCATTTTCTTGATACGGCGGCTTCTTATAGAAACTATTGACAGGTAATCCGGAAGTTTCTCCGCCATTGGATGCAGAGGTAGCAAGAGCTTCGGCGGCATCGTCAGCATTCTTCCCCGCCTTGCAATACGCAGAAGTGATTTGATCGAGAGAAAACGCAGCCCCAAACACCTCCAGCAAACCCCTCAGCGCCATATCGTCAGCGAGACTCGACGCGCCGTTCGAACCAGAGGCCTCCATTTTCCCAGAAACTCGACGTAACACAAAAATGGATTCTGGGGAAGACGAAGAGACTGATTAGAACAACAGAGGTGGATTCTTCCCTAAACAAAATTCTGGGTTTGAATCAGGAATGCAAAACAATCAACCCCATCTGAACAAAAATTTAAAATTCATAAGAATTAATCGGAATTTCGGACTCGTAGACTCAAAGTTTGAAGCTTTTCGTACTCCAAGACGCTGTTGTTTTCTTCTTTTTTCAAAAATCCAACAGCAGTGATAATATTGAATTGAATGGTTTGAACAGAATCTGAATGCGAGCGAAGTTATGAGAGTGAGTGGATTGAAGAATATTTTGTATAAAAAAAAAAAAATAGAGAATAAAGTAAACTAGAAAAACAAAAACAAATAAACAGAAGAAAGCAGCATGCTTTTGGCGCCTTCGCTGTTTGCTTACTCGCTTTCTCCCTTCCAAAGCACGTTCCTTCCGATGGAAGTTGTTGAGAAACTCCCAAAGACACTGAATTTTTAGGCCCACTGAGTGATTGAGATTGAGTGGTCAAGTCTCAGAGTTTAAGTACTGATTGGTGATTGCCGACCCGGTTAATTACCAACCAAATATACATGGATTTGGTCGACTAAATTGTGTAATGTTAGGAAGAGTTGTTTACGCGCGTAAGTGATATGTGATCGTTGGTACATATGGGTTTACATTCATCAATGGATGAAAGTGACTTAACAGAGACTATACCAAACCGTTTTGATAGATTAGTTTCTTGTTTGATATTAAATTGAGAGAATGTTTGGTATGTTTATTAATTTTTCATATCTAAGTTGATACACGATACTAAATCAGGAAATATAAGAAGATTTATATGTATGTTATGTCATTTGGTTGACGAGAGATTTTTTAATATTTCTGAAACACAACGTAGTACACCACGTATCATAATATTATAACACGTGATATACCGTATTATGTTTTAAGTACACATATAAGTTTATGCAACGAAATTTCTTTGAAGACTATATTAGTTATGACTCATTCTAGTATCTAATGCAGCAATAGTATTAGTATTATAGAAATAAAACATGTATTAAAATATCATTAGACTAGAATCAAAAAGTGAGTACCTAGAGTACTCATTAGTAAGTACCTAAATATTATCTGTATAATGGGCCCCACACAAGGGTAGCTGCCCTAAGAAAATCAACTATGCATTGTATTCGACGAAGGCATTGCAACACAAAAATTTCAAACCCGCAACAAGAGAACAACTTCAACTAGATTTCTTCAATGAAAACACCGAATCAGAAGAGAATCACCAGATCCAAACCACAATCACAAACCTGAGCAAAAAAAAAAAAAAATTAAAAAATAAAAACCAAACTCACAAATAATGAAGAAGAGATGGGGCTAAGGGGCATCTAAAACACCCTCCTAATTTGCTAAAAAACTGTCGACGCGACCAAATTTTCTTTTCTTTTGATTTCAATTCTTCTTTAACGGTCATTAAATGGATGGCTCATATCGATTCATTCATGCAATCGGTTTGAATTAGTGCAAAGATAGGTGAAACAGTGTGAATTACTCCGTTAATTCTTCTACTCATTAGATAATTTAACTACCTACTGAATTATTTGATTGGTAATTATCAATGTAAGCAGCTCGTTAATTTCAATTAGGTTTTAATTAGGCCATTTCTAGGCTTTCTTACTTCCACTGTTACGCATAAACCCTACTTGCATGCAGAAATTATCAATTAAATTCGGTTTTTTTTCTTTATTCCAACATATTCTAATTTACTCCAAACAATAAAAAAGTAAATTTGAACTTGAGTATAGAGCAAAATAACACCACTCTAGCCAACTTAATCGTCGTACTCAGGTTTACAGTATTTATTTTATTTTTATTGTTAAATATTGTGGGTAATGCTAGGGAGATTAAATTTGTAGATAAAGTTTTAAAAATTAAAGGACATGGAGGTTGATAATTGGTTTATTACTTAAAAGTTGATAAACGTACTTATTTCTATTGGTGACACATCATTTAGTTTGCAAATTTAGTCTCCAAACTTAGTCTCCCTAGCATTACCCAAATATTATTAGTTCAAAACAGTTACAAATTCTCTGATCTGCCCCGGTTTCCCTAACCAAATACATCTTCATTTGCTTGCTTCCCGTAGCTTTGCTCAACAAACTGCTTTTTTATGCCATTTTCACTGAGACCGACTGATCTGCATGCAGACTTGACTATATATAAACCCTAAACAAGAAGAACTAGAAGATCATAGGCAAAAGAAAATAAGTTGCTAAAGATGACAACACCAAAAAAATGGGCATCCGTAGCTTATTTGCTGTTACTTAGCTGGGGAGTGAGCTCTGCTCACAGGGCAATTAATATTGGCAAGGATAAAGCCTTACTAGTTGATAAACCAGATTCCCTTGGCCTCCGACAAATTGGAGGAGGGCTTGGCGGACAAATGGGAGGGGGGCTTGATGGGCAGATGGGAGGGGGGCTCGGCGGACAGATGGGAGGAGGGCTTGGAGGGCAAATAGGAGGAGAGCTTGGCGGACTAATGAGGGGAGGGCTTGGAGGACAAATTGGAGGAGGCATTGGTGGAGGACAGATGGGAGGAGGGGTTGGCGGACAAATGGGGGGAGGGCTGGGTGGACAAATCGGGGGAGGGCTTGGAGGAATAATTGGAGGAGGACTTGGTGGACAGATACGAGGTGGGATTATTGGAGGTGGTATTAGTTTCAATCCAGGTTTTGGTGGCGGAGGTGAGGGGAATTGTGGTGGCCGTGGATATAGTGGTGGTGAAGGCGGTGGTAGTTGCGGTGGCCAAGATGGTGTATATGGATGCGGAGAAGGTGGTGGTAGTTGTGTTGACCAGGGCGGTGGTGGTAGCTGTGGTTACCAAGGCAGTGGATGTGTCGGAAGCTATGGAGGTGGCAATTGTGGCGGCGAAGGTGGTGAAAGTGACGGTGGGGAAGGCGGCGGTCATTATGGCGGCCAAGGCAGTGATGCTAATTCTACTGTTCACCATAACAATCTCAAAACGGCCTATGTATCCAGGGAGGCAACCAAAAGCCATGAACAAAATGGCAACCATATGAAATTGAAGACGGACATGAACAATGGAAGACGCCAACAGATGAAAGTAAACGCAATTCTGAATCGCGTCAAGCGCATGCTATCGATGCCATACCTCCACAAGTTCTGGACGCCATTGCCATGGCCCCACAATCAGGCTAGGCAGACCAGGATCTTCTATAAATATATTATCTCTGGTGTAATACTGTGTTTCACAGAAGTTCAATAAAAACCCCCCAAAACTTGCGACTAAAAATGTGTTTTGCCCTAAGGCCTCTTAGAAATTGGACTGAGATTGCACACGGAGTTCAAAAGTGACTAAAAACGCATATACATGAATTTTGAAATCTATATATTCTCATTTACATTCATTAATTAGGAGAACAACTTACATGACACGAGTACATCGTGACGGTATACTCATGTTATATAAGTCTTTCTCATCGGTTAGAGCAACATCAACATTTACATTTCCTATTATGTAAGTGTTTGCATAACATTTATATCTCAAAACGCTCTAAGAACGGGACTACTCCTTGTGCAAGGGCGGAACTGTATACAAAGCTACCATGGACTATTGGGATAGACAAAATTAAAGGTGGCATAAACAATTTTGGTTATTTTTCAAGTGTTTGAACTTGGTGGCTCAAATTAAACCATGTAGCCACGAGAAGAAACCTAGCAACACTAGATTCAAATGTATGAAGTCCAGTCTATAGAAGTAGTGAAAGGCATTCAGATCAACTATCCCCCTAATTTCAAGCATTGGTTTATGGATTTTAAGGTGGAAATCGCACCTTCTTCAATTTCATTTGTATTAGTAAATGCATAAAAATAAAGAATCCAAATGATTCCAATTCTCGTTCTTGTTGTTGGTACGTACTACGTAGGAGGAGGAGGAGGAGAAGGAGGTACGTACTACATAGGCAAAAGAAAGTAGTAGGCGGCAAAAACACAAAAAAATGGGGATGTATATGCATAGCCTATTTGTATTTGCTATTACTTGGCTTGGGCTGGGGAGTAAGTTCTGCCCATACTCATAGGGTCATGATTGGCAAGGACAGAGCACTAGTTGAAAAGCGAGATACCCTTGCCGGCTTCGGACAAACAGGAGGAGAACGCCTTGGCGGACCAATCTGAAGGACTAGAAGGTTGGGTGGTGAACAGGAACAGGATCGCCGAGGAGCTAGTTGCCTTCGTATAAAGGCTGGAGGAAGGGATGCAGGAAGGGATGCTGGAAGGGGTGATGGTTTTCCATTTGTTGATTTCGTTTTAGGTGGTGATAATGGAGGTCAATTATGCCCACAAGTTCATCGCCCTACATGCCGCCACCTTCAAAAAGGAGTTGGCTGATTCTTAGATCCCGTCCACTCCTGATTCCAATGTCCACAGTTACAGCCTCAAATATGTACATGGAGGCAAGCAAAAGCCATGAACAAAATGACAACCATGAAATTGAGGACAAGCACAAACAATGGAAGACGCTAACTGATAAAAGCAACCGCAATTCCAAATCTTCTCAAGTGCAAGTTCTGGACGCCATGGCCATGGCGCCACAAGTTATGGATGCCATTGCCATGGCTCCACAATCAGGCTAGGCAGACCAGGATCTTCAACTATGTGTATAATAATATGCTGTGTGTGTATATATACATATATATATATATATATCTGGTGTATATAAGCATCATTGTGTACTATGTTTCACAAAAGCTCAATAAAACAACCCCCAGAACTTGTGACGAAACATGTGTTTTGCCCACAGGTGTAAGGCCTGGAACCACGAATTCTATTGACGGAACTTAGAAATTGGACTGAAATTTCAGAGTGAAACAAAGTGATCAAATGTGATCTGCGTCTACGCATAGTGACGAACAATGCATTTGACCTTAAAAATAGAAGCATTCAAGACCTCTAAAGGGCAATAGGACCACATAATGGCACAGCCACTAAACTTGTTCTATATTTATTATACAGTCTAGTTTAAAACTCACCGGTTAATTAGAAAATACAACTTATTGTAGCTAGCAGGCAGAGTCTCAGGGATGAATGTTATTCTCCTCCTCGACAAGAGTTATGTCGGCCCAATTTGAAGCACTACCAGTGCGAGGAATGCTGGGAATTCGCGTGTACAGATCCACCTGAAACGTTACTCCACGAACTTGTCCATTGTCGTCTTCGAGCCTAATTGCCCTTACCTTGTGCATTGGATGAACAAAGCTCATCAACCCACTTCCACTTGTGAATATGCAACCTGTTAGACCATTTAAAACCATTACTTAGCTTCAGGTCAAGTTACCGCAAATTTAGGGAGGGATCGGTAAACGAGGGTCCCCAATTCGGATTTTGGGACTAACCTGGAGGGAAAGGTGAACAAAATTTTCCACAAGCCTCGATGATGATGTCAAGATTGTGTGAGCAGACTAGGGATCCATCACCTGCCATTCCCCAGTGAAGCTCCACGCTTCCATCTCGGTCCTAACATTTGCAAAAGTTGCATTGTGGAAGAAACAACGTTAAAGTTTTCCTTAGCATGTCAAACGATCGAATCATACGTTTCAATACTACGTAATTTCGGAAACAACTCACCCTGGCAGCAAAAAGCGTATCGGTTCTAGCATCGAAGAGAACAAATGCGAATTTTCCTTGTAGATCTTTGATGACTTGATCCGGAGGGTAGGGTGCGCGATCTCTTAGGACTTTATAGGCTTCAACAACGACCATAGCTTCTGTTGCTTGTCTTGGAAGGCCGTAGTGTCGTCTCAGGTCAGAAGTGTTTTCCAAAGTGCCTATAAAAATGCAGAAGACATCGTCTAGGACAACAATGCACCTGCAAATACAGAAAAAAGTAACACAAACTGATCAAGTAGCGAAATTCGAGCTTCAATATTGCGTGCAGACCTTGGTGCAAGAAAAGATCTAGACGACTGGATCATATGATGTGAGAACTCGGACATTTCCTGCAGATCTTGATCAAAATCCATATGGAAGCTAAACAAGTGCAAAAAATGACACCATAAATGCTTTTAGTTGTCAAAAACGCGCTTTTAATCATACCAAACAAGCCCTTAATACCTTGGGTGTGGCTGAACACTCTCATTGTCCTGTGACAAAGCCATGAAACTTCCATTAGAAAGGTGGTAAACAGTGGACTCGGGACACGACGACTGGAAAATCTCCAAAATCTCCTCTCTGGTCTTTGCCTTCTCCACCACATTCGAAGGAACCCTCAGCTCCTCGGGCGGTTTTCCGACCGCTTTCTCAAAAACCGTCAACATTTTTCCGGCTAAACCTCCAACGACATAGAGCTATATATGAATCTTGGTTTATTTTTCCCAAATGCTTATCTGAGATTCTGAAGAAAGCAAGTTTGCTAGCTTCCAAGATTGGTGCGTGTGTTGTGTGGGAGTATGTATGTGGCAGCTTTAAGGGTTTAGACGTGGCGGATGCTGCAGAAGGCAAGTCATATTATTGCCAAAAATATTTTGGCATCTACTTAAAGGTGGTGGACGACGTTACAATCTTTCATGGTTAAATTGCAAATTCCTATAAAAATTAATAGAAAATAATTTATGCTTTCAGGCTTCAGCATCTTCTGCATGGAGTTTGAGATTTGCGTCAAATTAAAATTTTAATTTTTTTTTCTCTTTTTCACCAAAGCAGTGACTCTTGCGATCGACCGTCAGACTATGTGAATTGTTGGATCTCTTTGCAAAAAAAAAAAAAAAAAAAAAAAAAAAAAAAAAAAAAAGAGTTTTCTGTGTGGAAATGCTAAAGAGAATTTTTAAAATGAGACTCTGACACCTAACAGTTTAACGTTAATTTTCTACCAACATTATAAAATATTATGTTAAAAATATAATATGACATATAATTCATGAAAAGTCTTACTCTTTTGTGAGTGGATCAGAAACATAGTCCAACTGTCAAACACAAAAATTCTTCGTACTAAATAAACGACTTGGTTAAGGTCCATAATGTTTTGCAATCATAAAGATGGATCGATTTAAAATGAGAACTTAAACCGAAAGAAATCAAAATGGTTATTAAACGTCCCTTAACTTGCGTGCTTTTTGTGTTTTATGGTTGAAGATTGTGGGAAAGAGTCGACCAACAGAAATGAATCAAATCCCCCACGAACCGACCGGAGTCTCATGTTCAAGATGATGCTTCTGCAATCATCTTGATCTTACAAAATTGTGAGAGCACTTCAACCCGGTATGAAACATTGACCGTCATTTTTACTTGATGTAAGCAACTGTACAACCGTAATTCGTTGAGCTCTCCGGTTCGTACTTGGCTACTCGGGGATGTTTTTTCAAAATCTCAAGTGCTCTCTCTTTAACAACCCCTGTGCCCATTCCATGTATGACAAAGATAACTGATTGGGACTCTCTAGCAGAGAGGACCATGTCCAGGAGGTGAGAAGCTTCCTCCGCCCTCATGCCACGGAGATCCACTGTGTTCTTTGACGTTTGTACCACTGGACCATAGGATAGCTCCCCACTTCCGGTTTCCCCATTACGACTCCGCCCAACCTACAACGTCAAATCAAAATGATCAGATTCTATCAGTGGGTTTGATGGTATCCCTCAGAAGCGCAGTTATAGACATTCGTCTGCGCTAAAATAGCATCTCGCATCTGTTAAGTCCAAGTACAGTTTTGTACAGGAGTATACATTTGTGTATGCACAAGCAAATATTACCAATTCATAACAAATAATTTGTCGAGAACTTGTGTGAGGAGTCAAAACAGATACAGGCAGGGACGAGTTGTAATCATGCATGTGGAACAATTAGAAGGGATATATACCTGCTGCTTCAAACGTGGGACAGAACTAGGCGTGGCATTCTTATCAGCGCTAGGGATAGCTCTAATGTCGCTCTTCTTCAGGCGAACCTTTATTTTACCATATTGTACAAGGACTGTCCCATCATCTCCAGGTGCTTCAACTACAGTAGCTATCTTATCTCCCAGTCGCTTCAAATAAACTTGCTCTCCAAATTGGGGTGTGTATGAAGTAGCAGATGTCTCACTAACCAACAGATCATCCTCAGGGGAGTGAGCTTCAACGACTGATGCAATTGCAGCTTCTGATTTCCTAATCAGCAAATTCAATTGATCAGCAGCAGCAATTTTGAGTCGGTTATCAAACTCCTTCAGTACAGTCTCCATTTGGGATTTTGCAGCCTGCACTTCTTGCTGAACCTGTAGCGTTTCCTTTGCTATAAGAGCTCTCTTGCGCAACTCAAGATCTTCTGCCTCATCGTGGATCTTCAATTTAACAAAAGCAATTAAGGACATAAAGAGCCATGCAGAAACAAGAAAACAAAAAAAAAGGTAGCAGCAGGAAAATTGCAAGAAAATAAGGAGCCTCATCATGGATCTTTAATTTACCTCACGATAAATATCCATGATATCTGAATGAAGAGATGCAGCCATTTTGGCCTGAGCTTCCAGTCTGTTCCTTTCCTCTACTAATGACCGATATAGCAAACCTTTTCGCTCTTGTTGCTTTTCAGGCATTAACCTCTCCACCCATTTCTGTGCATGTTCAATTACGTGTTGATTGAAACCAATGGATTTAGCAATACTCAATGCATTTGAATCACCGGTACTTCCCCACAGGATCCGGTAAGTAGGTTGTAAGGTTTCTGGAGAAAATTCCATGGCTGCATTTTCAAATTGATTATCCTTTTCTTTCAGGCAACTTAAATCCGCATAATGAGTAGTCACAACGGCTAAGTCAACACGATCTTTGAGATAAAGCAAGATGCTGGCGGAAAGAGCCACACCTTCTGAAGGATCGGTTCCACTGCCAATTTCGTCAATGAGGACAAGTGATTCTTTTGAGGCCACTTCCAATATATTACGAATCCGCGAAATGTGCCCACTAAAAGTTGAGAGATTTTGCTCCAGAGACTTCAATCGAAAAAACCATAGTCAGACAAATGAAAACTTAAAGAACCTAGGAGTTTCTGCCATAATTAAGGTAAACAACTACCTGATGATCTCCAATATCAGCCAGAACAAGATCAAACCACGGAAGCTTTGGGTGGTTTTTAGCAGGCAGATACATGCCAGCCTTCGACATGAGAGATGCCAAGCCCAAAGTTTTCATGGAAGCTGTTTTCCCCCCAGTATTAGGTCCTGAGATTACAACCACTCTGGTTCCACATCCAATTTTGATATCTATTGGCACTGGAAAATCAGATGCACGACCAGATAAACTTCCAGAATTCATTTTTACACCATTTCCGTTGCTGGAGGAAAGTGGATTTCTCGATGCAAAAGCATCAGACAAATTTTTTAAGGATGACTCGAGGAGCAATGGATGTTGCAGCCCTTCTATATCTACAGCTGCCACAAAACTGGTTCCACCAGAATACAAGTCGTTGGAACTAAATATTGGACACACCCCATTCATCCGCAGAGCATAAGCAGCTCTAGCAAAAGCAAGATCCACTTCCAAAACTTTATCTAACAAATACATTATCGGTACTTCTGATTTCGCAATTTCAGATGTAAGGAAGCTCAAAATGCCGATTTCCTCAGCTCTCTCAGCATTCGAAAGCCTCACTTCCATGTTGTTCAACTCCACCGCCTCTTTAGGTTCCACAAAGTATGTTGCACCGGAACTACTAGCATCCAAAACTATGCAACCCGGAAGCAAATGTTTGTGCATGGCCCTAACACCGACGCACATCCTAGCCCTCCGCATAGTCACCAAAGGGCTATCAATGCCGCCCGATTTAAAAATCTGGGTTGACACTTCCTTCAGCAAAGAATCCAGATTTTCCATGTTCCTCTTCCTCTCTGACCTAATGATCTCTAAGTCTTCGCTAGCTGTGTCAAGTATTATCGAAAGCTTGCAATCTATACATACTCCTATCGTTTTCTCTAACTCTACTAGGAAATCACAATCCTTGAGTATTTCAATCAGGGGCAAGTACCTGTTCAAGTACAACTTAACAAAAAATAAATCATAAAAATTTGAGTTGTCTTAACATTTTTATCAATTTATCACTAAAATTAAGTACTTCACTAAACCCAATGTAATCAGTGTTCAAAATTCAACCCAAATATATTCATAAAAACGAATATAAAATAATTAATTACTTTAAATAATAAACAAGGAAAGCTCAATAGAACCGATACCTGTCCGTACAATCTGCACCCAAATCCAAGCCCTTCACTTTTTCGAACAATCCCTTCGCGGCAGTCAGCGTCCTGCGCACAGCGCAGAGCTCGTTAATGGTAAGCAATTTGCCTGAGACGGCGGAGCTCACGATATCCGAGACGTTCTCGACGGCCGAGAAATCCGAGGGTGGAGAACCGATGGCCGCGATGGCATCCACCGCGGCAGCCGTCTGATCGAGAAGCTTCTGGCTCTCCTCCTTGGACCGGCCAAGTGGAACCCGGGCCTTCTGCGCGGTCGAGAACCCCATGGCTGTGGACGCCAGCGCCGAGAGCTGCTTGCAGACCGAGGCCCATTCTAGGGTTTCTAGGGTTTCGGATTGGAGGGAATGCGCGAGGCTGAGTCGGCTGGAGTGCGACTCGGCCGAGTTGGAGAGCGAGAAGGAGGTAGTGGCGGCAGCGGCGGTGGGTTTGAGGGCTCGGGCCAGGAAGAGGTTGGCGGTGAGTTGCAGTGGAGAAGCGAGCGAGGGAACGAGTTGACTCAGTGAGTTGAACATGGCGGAATTGGTGGGTTTGAGGCGATGGGTTTTTGCATTTTATCCGCTCAGAATAAAACTGTGGAGGGAAAGAAACGGTATCATTCAGACTCTTCTGGCAGCGGCGTGGCGCCAGTTTTTAAGCACGTCGCTTGGTCGTTCCGCCTTTCCCAACTACATGTCGTTTTTCCCTCTTCATTTTTGGCATTCAACTTGGGGCAAATTTGATTTTCAAAATGAGTTGTAAGTTTTAATTTTTTCACATTGCATTTTGAGATGAGCAACGGTTATGGTTGATTTATTCATAACCGGTTAAGTTTTTATTCACATCACCATTTACATGTTTGGTAATTAAATAAATAATATACTCATACTCATAACCGATTAACTCATATTCATTAGACTCTTTTTCTTTGTCTTCAATACAGGACATGTTCTGACATGTGAACATAAAGATGAAGTACCAAGATTGGAGCCCGATGCTAGCCTAGTTTTATAATGTCACACACAGCTTTCACCTCCCCCACGAAACTTTTTTTCATCTAATCGGTGCCAAACAATTGAGGTTCTTTTTCTCTTCCTACTAGAGTCTGTTGGAACTTATGAGGGATTATTGTCCCACATTGCCCATACACTTTATCTAATTCTCCTTTATAAGTGAGTTCACTCACTTATTATATAATAGATATTTGATTGGTTCTAACAAAGTTATGTGTGATTTTCTGGCACCTTCAAGAATTTGAATCATTTTTGTACATTTTTCTTTTATTTCTCATACCACTACAACAAACAATCATATTCATGTTATTTCAAAATATATTTTTCCATACATGGAGCCCGACTCGTTTTCTAAGCACTCGGAGCACGTTCTTTTTGCTTTCATGAAACTCGCATCGTTTTTGCGTGCCCCGAGCCAACCTCGTTTTATGTGCCTAGAGCTCGCCTTGTTTTCTGTGCCAGAAGGCTGCCCTTTTTGCGTCCACGGAATCCGCGTCGTTTTGGCGTGCCTAGAGCTAGCCTCGTTTTTCATGCGCAGGGTTGACCTCTATTTGTGCGACGTATTCTGTCTCGTTTTCTATTCACGGAGCTTGCCCCATTTTGCGTGCCTGAAGCCCTTTCCGTTTTTTCATAAGCAAAACTTCCCTTGTTTTGTGTGCCACGGTTCACCTCGTTCTGCGTGAACTGAGTCTGCCTCGTTTCGCATGCGTCGAGCCTGCCTAACACTCATGTTTTCTAACAAAAATGCAAATTTTTTATTTTTGCAAAATATTTTTTTCTAAGCATTAAGTTAAACTTTATAAGTAATTTGGAAGCAGTTTTATGGTTTATTGAGCAACAAATGTATATTAGTAGAATATTTGAGCCATAAACTAAAGAAATAAAGGGAAATTGAAAAACTATAGTAGTGAGTCCTAGAACATTATCAAATGGGGTTTTACAGCCAAGAATCTCAACGAAAAGTCTCATCTTAATTTTCAAAACTTCACAATAAGGTAAAGGTGAAAATAAGTAGATTGAACAGTGATTTATGTACAAATTTACAAAACCGATTGAAACCTGTGAGGGTGTATATATAGATTTAGCTCATGTTTGTTTATTGTAATCCAAGTCACGAACATATAATAATTAACTACTACAAAACAATTAATTTATTGCTGTTCTGAGAAAAAACATGTTGCAGGAAGGATTTGTTTAATGAAGAGACTGCTGATAAAAAATTAAAAGTCAAGTCAAACCTCGCTTCAGCAGTGTTGTCGTTGGGCGAGGAAAGAGATCCTTTCCGGATCGTCCAGATCAAGTGATTAAAATTTTTAAAATTTGATTTAAAGGTAAAAAATTATTCAAAATTTTAAAAGTTTTTATTAATTTTTTTATTTTTAGCTGTTGAATTAAATTTTAAAGATTCCGAACTTTGAAGAGAGAGATTCGAAGATGATCTCTTTTCATTGGTTGATTCGAAGAGAATCTCATTTCATTGGTCGACAGAAGAGCACGCAAAAGCAAAAGAGAGTGAAATAGGTACCTGTTTGCAAACAAAAAGAAGGATTAAATTGTACCCGCGGGTAATAGTGCCCGTTTATAAACTGCAAATGCCACGAAAACAATGCCGGTTGTATTCCGAAACAAAACACATTGTTCATTTGAAGGGAAGAACATGATACAGAAGATTTCCGATCGCGGTTGGCCACCGGCAAACAGAATTCAGTTTCTTGAGACAGGAATTCGAATCGTTTGTTAGTCTGATGTTGTTAGAAAATCCATAAACATATGATTTGACTACAGCAATGGATCAAAAAGGGTATAACTTGAGTTTCATTTCACTTGTTTTCTTTTTTAATCTCTAGCATTGCAAGCAATCAGTCCACCAGAACCAATCTCTGATACTCTTCACCGGAGATGGCTGCTTCCATGATGCGATCCGGGCGGATTTCCCCATCATTATCCATGAACATCTTGATCAAGTTCTTCGAGAATCCGCTCAAGAATGCCACCCCAGGTTGGTTCGAAGGCGCAGGAGTAGCCTCCGAGTGCCTCAGATTCCAAAACACTATCTGTGGCACCGCGTTCCCATACCCTTTCTCTTCAAACTTCCTTTTAATTGCCTCGTAATCGGTCTCCCAATCGTTCCCTGTAGCCGAGGATTCATCAAACTCCATGTCGCTGAACACAAACACCCTTTTTATCATGTCCTCCGGCTTCAAGTTCCCCTTCACGGCCACCTCGAGAAGCAAATCAAACACCTTTTGGAAATTGGTGTTGTCCCCCCAATCCATGTCTCTCATGAACGCACACTTGGCCCGGAGATCATCGCCTTCGATCAAATGCAGCTTAGGCGACGCGCTGAAAGTGATAACCTTTCCTTTCCATGGATCTGCACTCAATTCCGACAACAGAAGCCCCAACGCCACAGACACGTCCATCGGGTCTCCGTTCATGCTTCCGGAGACATCACAAACCGCCAAGGAATTCCTCAACTTCCCCTGCTTCAACAAGTCATCCACCATCCTCTTCCACTGAAGCTCAGCCACTTGACACCCCCCATCGTCTTGAACCCGATCCTCATCATCGCTATCCATGTATCTATACACCATGTAACTGTCAATATTCAGAGAGGCTATGATCTCGTGCGGAAGCAGAGCACCCGCCGCAATGGTGGACTTACCAGCTTTCACATCGGCAAAATACTTTCTGAACCGCTCGTGATCATGCTTCAAGAACTTGTCTTTGTAAAGCTTCATGGCCACGGAAGCCACCCGATTGTAGGGAATCAACCCCCATTGAGTGGCGGACATATAAACCTCCGGCAACTCCAACGCCTTCCTCAAGGGCACCAACACCTCCTTTCTCAGCCTATCACGAACCCTGTACGCGTAATGCTCCTCCTCCAATTCCTGATACTCAATGTAAGATTCTCGCGGGAAAACCTTCTTCGCGATGCATTCGCAGATAAGAGTTGCCCGATCGAACGAGGAGTCAATTGAAGGGCACCACTTCGCGGCAAGGCTGATCTTCTTGGGCTGTTTATCCGAATTCAAGTGCTCAATGTCGGATTTCAAGCACTCCGCGAAGAGATCCGAAACCCTTTCGTGCAAGAATTGGTAATCCGGGTCGCGCTGGTACCTCTCAACAGCATTCTTCGCCATGGCCAGAAACTTCTTCTTCCTCGAAGCCCTCACATTCTCCTTTTCCAATTGTGCCCTCTCCGCTCCGGTCAATTTTTTAACTTTCGGTACCCGAGGCTCCTTGGGCTTCTCGGTCTTTGTGCGCTTAAACCTCCCCCTGCTCAGTACACCCACCACGCTGCTCTTCCTCTCCAACCACTGGCTCTTCTGGATCGCCCTCACGTTAGGACCTTCTAGAAGCCGGTAAAGAATCTCTGGGAGGTCCTTAAAGTACCCAAACTCCGCGAAAGAGAAGAGATTGCAAGCTAGGGTTCTGGGGTGGTGGTTGTGGAGCCAAATCGCAGCAGTGTAGAAGTTCTGCTTGTCGGACTTTCCGGTGCCGCGCACGCCGCGGAGGTTGCAGATTAGTTTGAGGGTGGTTAGGGCGTCGTGGGACCAAGCCAGCGGGAGCTGTTGATTGAGGTAGGATGCCGGGGTGTCGGGCACGACGTGGAAGAAGAGATCGAGGCAGGGGTTGCCTGAGGAGACTAAGGTGGGTGCGCCGTTCTCGGTGAAGCCCATCGGGGGTCTGCCGGTGGTGGCTTTGCCGCCGTAGTAATTGGCGTCCACTGGATAGCTGGAATCGGATTTGGGGGAATTTTTGAGCTCCGAGGACCAAGAAGAAGACTTGGAGGAGCCATTGACTTGGTGATCGGGAAGTTGTTACTTAGGCACGAAGTAGGGTTTTTTTATGCTTTTTTTTATAGGGAACTTGTTACTTAGGCACCAAGTAATTTCTTAGGTGTTTGGGATACAGTTAAGCCATCTTTTTATAGGGAAATTGTTACTTATGCACCAAGTAATTTCTTAGGTGTTTGGGATACGGTTAATGTTGCCAACTGGGTTTTAGAAAGAATTGCAAAAACAATCATTTGAGATTAGCAAAAAAGATCATTTGAGATTTTGTTTCGTTTTCAGAAAGTTGTTTTTTATACTACTTTAATCTATGAAAATAAAATTATTGATTGATGTCACATTTGGAAAGTGTGTAGTTCGTTGAAGACTAAAGTCTATTATCCACGACATGCGGCAAATTGATTTGTATTTGCATCACTTGGAATCATGTCTCTATTTGGATGAAGAAACCAAACTAGAAATTACTCAGACAATGAGCCGAAAAATTTGAGCCGTATATACAATCGAACTCGCATAAACTATTGTGGAAATCCTCAGTAGTTACATTAGTTACATTGACATGTCTTGCAAATTGTAATATTACAGATCTGGGAAGCAACTGGCTATGTACACTTAAACCCTAGAGATGAATGCCATGAACAGTGCTTAACTGTGGCAGAGCCATACGTGAATGAGATTTGATCATACAAGCATATATACACGAGAGAGTGTGCGATTTTGCTCGTCAATCGGCAGTTCTTTTTCCGTTCTCAGTTCGCCAGAATTGGAATGCCGCAGAGCGCAGGAGCATGCTTCCCATCTTTGAAGACAAGGTTTCCTCTTACAAATGTGGCTGCAACTCTTCCAGATAACTTGGTCCCCAAGTATGCTGAAATGCCCTATACATGGAAAAGGTAACACGAGAGAGTAAAATACTTGCTCAACGCAATGAACTCCGATAACAGACATAACTGGTTTGATAGATTAAGTTGAATGCATCGAGGTTCTTAAAAATGTGATCAAGGAAAATTGTATGTACCGGATGTTTAACATGGGTGGGAAATTCATCATCGAGGTCAAACTCCACATCCGGATCCCATACTGCGATATCTGCATGGTTCCCGACTGCAATTGCCCCCTGAAAATTGGAATTCAATTGGTGACGAGACATAAATCGGCTTTGAAATTCTAGTTTTTCTTGATGCATATATGAAAATACACGCGTCTGCATGAAAGTTGGCTAAAACAAAGCAATTTTTCCTATGCTGTAAAACCAAACTTCAGATTTGAGCAGGAAAAACTGATGGTAATTTCACCTTCAATTTTTGTCCAGCAAGCCTGGCCGGCCTTTCGCTCCACCATAAAGCTAACTGTTGTAATGTCACTCCATATTTCTTGCCGTATGACCATGTCACAGGAAGAACAAACTCCAGGTGTCCCCCCAAAAACAATGTCAGTTAGTTCTGAAACAATGCAACTTGTTACATTTAAGGCAAAAATATGCTAACCTGCAAAGATGATATGCCACCCCAAGCCCTCAAAAAGTCTCCGTCGTTGAGAAGCTTAAGTTCTGGCACAGTTGGTGAGTGATCAGAGCTTAGCATGTCAACGTGTCCGTCCTGAAACAAAACATTGAAAACCAAATCAAATCAATTTGACGGTAGATAGCAATCTGCTTGCTTAAATTAGAGTAGTTTGGAAAATCGCTTTGTAAGGAGGCAGGGAAACAGAACATGATTACACACCAACAAAGCCTCCCACAGTTTTTCCTTGTTGGCTGCATCGCGGATGGGTGGAGAACACTTGAAACGTGTATCTCCATCGCGAATCTCTTCTGCTGAGAAAGCTAAGTAGTGGGGGCACGTCTCAATAGTTAGACTATCGCCACCACTTTTCGCTTCCTGTGATAATGCAGAAAAAGGCAGTTGCATTGCTTAACCTAGAGAGGATTAAGACACTAGATAACCACACTTGGAAAAGACTATACCTTAATAAGATCTAACGAAGAGCGTGAGTCTGACAAGTGAACAATGTGAAGATGAGCTCCTTCTGCCGGGCCACCAATTCTCGTGTCCTTTGTCAAGGTCAAGAGATCCCTAATTGCTGCCTCTTCCCTGATTCCGAAACAGAGGAAAAAGAACAATTTTAGTGAGGGAAACTGCAATATAAAAAAGGAATTGGAATTTGAAAATTCAAGCCATTGGAGCGACCGATATCTTACCAAGAAGGTGGCCTGGTCTTGAGATATGTCAAATAAGAACGAGGATCGTTACTACCACCTTCAACTCCCAAGTCGCTTTCAAGATCTTGTACTTTCTCTGCATGTACAAGTAAAGGCCTTCTGTATTTTGCTAGTACAGATAGTCCCTCCTAAGGAACAAGTAATTGAAAAGAACGCAGATTTTTTAAAAAGACATTAGAACTGCACAAACAACGTTTCATCTCATGAAGCCAACAGATGCAGCGACACAAGAAACAAATAACATGACAATTATTTGATTTTAATTTAACTGCAAGGTAAATTAGATGTTTTATGTGATAGTGGAAGGGATGAATCTCATGGAACAAACCTTAATGTGACTGGCATTTGTCATAGGAAAGTCATTAATCCCGGATGGACACATGAAAGACTACAAGAACAGACATCGAAAAATTCATCAGACGAGACAATTTATGGATAGAACACTGTTTTCTAATGCAGGAAAACAGAAAAACTGGTCCACATTCGATCGACAGAAACCAATTATCAAACTCAGAAATTTCTTAACACCTAAAGACACAAGAGTCTGAATTAGTTGCTAAGACCCTTACTTGCAACACAAGAAATATAATGGAACAGATATCTCTCTACGCACAGATTTCACTACTTGAACAGTTACCTTTAGACCGAGAACACCGGCATCTAAGAGATCCTCGAGAGCAGATGCGTTGAAAGCATTTTCAGGAACAAGACCTCCCCAAAAACCTGTTCACAATGTATGTAAATTTATACCAGTTCTAAAAAAATTTAGTATAATTGTATCCCCAACATATAGCTTCAAGTTCTTACCAACATCAACGTAAATTCTGCCCTTTGCTGCCTTAATCTTGAGTTCCAAAGTCTCTCTAGAGACGGTTGATGGCTCACTATTTAGAGGCATGTCAACCAATGTTGTTATCCCGCCTGCAAGAAAAGTAATCTATTATCGATTTCAAACAATCCACGAAAACACAACGGAGCAGGTTATAAAGGCATACCAGCAGCAGCAGCTTTTGTTCCTGATGGAAATCCTTCCCATTCAGCTCTTCCAGGATCGTCGAGATGTGCGTGCCTGAATCAATGCAATCGACGCGTTTAAGCTCCAATCAAAAACCCTAATTAACCTTTGCGACGATGAAGAAATAGATCGAGAAGACAAAATTAATTGTATCATAACTTACACATCAATCAAGCCAGGCATGACAACAGCCTCTCCATAATCCATCACATTCTCCAGCTTGATTTTCCCATGATTTTCGTCTTCTTTAACAATGGAGGCAATCTTCCCATCCTTTATCTCAACTGTTCATTCACACATTTCATAAACGAAAACTAAATTATAATTTGGTGTCATATTGCGTGCTCGCCTCCTTCCACACGAGTTGAATTCCCTTCCGTAAATTAGTATAATTTAGATTACCTGCTCCAAAAATGACCCCTTGAGGTGTCACAATGCGCTTGCTGGCGATCCAATAATGTTGGAAAGGAAGCAGGCTGCAACTTTTCTGATATTGCTGTAAAATAGAAAGAACGATCGAACTCCATAGGCATGGCATTTAACTTCTCACTCGATTACGGCACTAAAAGTTCAATGCATAACCAAAGATGAAATATTTTGTGTCACGCGACTCAAAAACGAGATCGTTTATAAGTGCTTTTAAAATGGTTGAAAAAACCGTTTCAGTGAAAATGTTTTTGAACAAATCCTTACTAGAAGTGCAAGTAAACTCTTAAAAATAAACCCTTAAAAGTGTTTTTGGAATCCAAAAACATGTTATTTAAAAGCTCTTTCAATCATTTTAAAAACAATTAAAAACGAGTCCGTATACATACTTGACACTGTTCAACTAATTTTACATCACGAACATGATAATTTTTCTCATTTATACGATGAACAGTATGACACGAACATAACATAAATATAAGAGCTCGTTTGGTGCTTTTGAAATAACTGAAAACGTTTTTGGTTAAAATATTTTTAGAACCAATCATTAGTAAAAATGCAAGTAAATCCTGAAAAAACCCTTAAAATGTTTCCTGGAAGAAGCACATAACTGGTGCTTCTTGCAGAAAGCACTTTTAAGTGTTTTTGAAATCCAAAAATATTTTTTCTAAAAACACTTTCAATCATATTAAAAATACATCTAAACGAACCTAAATAAATAAACCCAAACACCACCATCGCCACCCATAGCTTTCAATGTCATATATCACGTCTATATTTCTACCTAACGACTGTGATGGACGGCTGTGAAAATTCGTATTGTCTATATCGTTTTCATGTCAAAAAAAGAAAGTGATGTCAGCAAAATTTCTTAGTGGAATATTCTAAGTGGTTATAATGTGGGAGAGCATAACGTCCCTTCATCTATTATTTGATAAATTAAAACGGGTTAATTTCAGTTTACTATACTAAAATTTTATAATTTTTAACATTTAGTGCATAAAACTTTTTTCATCTCAGTTCGGTACCTAAAGTAGTCATAATCTTAAACACTTTCATACATCCGTTAAGGTTGGTATTAAATCAATCGTTAACTGATGACGTGGTATTTACGTAGACAATCATTGAGATATTAAAAAAATATTTATATAAAAAAATAAAAATAAAAAAAAACCCTAAAAATACACCCCAATCCGCAGCCACCCTTTCAATCCCCATTCACACATCCTGCAATCCACCCTCACCGCCAGCCACCCTCCAATCCAACCCCATCGCGATCCCATATTTACTTGAACCAAACTCCACGTCGTCATCGGGTCCTGAGAATCACTCAACCTTTCTCCTCTACAACCTCTCAGTCCTCAAAGAAGGAACCATAGTAGCAATGGGTTTTGCTCAGCGCCGAACCCTCCCTCCCTTCGACTCTGACTTCTTCTGTATGTGAGTTCGAAGCCGATTTCCTCCCTTCTCTCTTCTGAAAAGGACTTCGACTTCGATTTCCTCAGCGGCACCACGACCTGCTTCTGCTGCTTTACGAATTCTTTTTGTGCTTTCATTCTGTGTTTGACGAAATCGAAGTCGAATTCAAACGGGTCCGAAAGATTTTGGGGATTAGGGATTTCATGCTGGGTTTGCTCAATTTTTTTGAAAACTCAAAATATTTTGGGAGTTAGGGTTTTTGCAAAGGGTGGAGGAGAGAGAGTGGAGGGGTCGTGAAGAGGGAGATAGGACGGCCTGGATGGGAGTTAGGGTTTGGCGGGCGTAGAGGAGAGAAGGGAGGAAGGGGTTGGATGGGAGCGGGGGGTGGCGATGGGGTTGGATTGGAGGGTGGCTGGCGATAAGGGTTGATTGCAGAGATAATGGTTTTTTGCTTTTTCACTTTTAACTGTTCCATTCTAAATTTTGAATTTTGAAATTTTGGTTTTTTTTTTTTATCAAAATTTTAATTACCACGTAAATATGTGGTATTCAGTTATTATTCACATGAACGTCACGTCGTCAGTTAACGGAAAACTTAATAAACAAACTAACAGATGTATAATTGTCTTAAAATTAATAGTTTAGGTATGACTTTGGGACGTAAACTAAGATTTACCCAATTAAAACAATTTCATATCACCCAGTATTTATCAATTATTGGTTAATATTTCATATCAACTTGTCCGCTACCAAAATGAAAGTAAACAACAAACGCAAATTGGAATTATATACCAAACAAGCATAACTCTGAATCAAAACGGATTTCCCTACCGAAAATAGTGTTTGGTTGGTGAGAAAATCCAGAGAAAACGAGCAAGGAAAAACGGAAAATTCAAGTCCCTAGCTTGGATTTTTCCCGGTTCCGAAGAAAGCAAATGATGTAAGATATATATACCATCTTATTCGATGCCACGAAGGTTGCAAAAACCATATAAATCATAAATTAAAAAATTAGTCTATACAGATAAATAATATAAACCCAAGAAAATAATAAACAATAAAACAAAGTATCTACATAAAAATAGTGTTTGGTTGGCGAGAAAATGCAGAGAAAAGGAAGAAAAATTAATCTGATTCGAACTTTTCCAGTATTAACAGAAAACCAATAACTTAATAAGATTTTTACACCATTAGAATCGGCAAAAAATACATAAATACAACCCAACGAAATAAACAAATGAAAAATGGGAAAAAAAATCGAAATAAACTACATGAAAAAGGAGGTTAATTTTGTCATCAGACCTGGGAGGGATACTGGAAATGGAAAAATAGTAGGAAAGAAGCGATTAATGTCAGCAGCGGCAGAATCCTCCATTGCACCGCCTCCATTTTTATCTCTCACTCCACTGACTCTGACTGCAAAACTCTCTCTCTCCTTTCACTGTTCTTTCTCTCTGTCTCTCTTCTTTCTCTCTCTCTCTCTCTCTCTCTCTAGTGGGATTTGTCCGCGTGGAGAGTTGGAATACAAAAAGAGCGAGTGCACTTTAGGGCTGTCCGTGTGATGGGTGATGTTATCGATTCCCTGTAAGGTTCAAGAACCCGGGAAAGATTCCTGAATCTTTGATTCCTTTCCAGCAAGTGGGCTTTGTCGTAGCACGCGTGGGGTACCCGTATCCTTTTCATTGCTCTGATTTTTTAATTCGGGCTGCGTTTTTTTTATATTTTTAAATGAAAATAATTCATGGTAAACCGTGATTATCCATCATTTTTAAATGTTTTTAATTAATTCGGTCAATTTTCTATCCAACCGTGGAGATTCTTTTGAAAACAAAATTAATTTGGTCAATTTAGTTAGATGTATTTTTATTCATTATCGTTTAAGTTAAATATTAATAAGAGAAATGCTTAGTAGGCTTTTTAAAAAATAAATGTTTTTACAAACTCTATATCACTTTATGTTTTTTTACATAATATTTTATAATTTTAACCTCCCCCAAGTGGCATGGAGTTTAGCCACACTTTTAACGAATTTTCTTACTATTTGTCTATTAATAATGTTTGTTGACGGCATATACAAAGTATTATACATTATGGTTAACATCAAATTAGTCTAATCAGACAAATAAGATAAAAGTTGTTAATTAACCGATTAATAAAAATGTATTATATCTTTATCTGCATTTTCGTCCACATAAATATACACTATATTAACTAAGGTAAGAGATGTCAAAAATTACAATGAAAGCCCATCACGAGGCAAACAACCAACAAACAAACAGGAAGTACAAGGGATAGAAGACCCGACACTGGAAGCAAAGCTCTGAGCATCCCCCCTTGCACAACCATCTCAAAATTAAGGCGGGCAAGGTAAACCATCTTTGTTCAGTACATGCACAAGTGAAGATGGGAGTCGATCAACCCAAGACAAATCACACATCTCCACACATCTACGCGACGTCAAGAGGTCAGCCGCCATATTGGCTGATCTTGGAATCCAAGACCAGCGACAATCCTAAAAGGCTACCCCAAGCTTTAAACACCTCGCTAAAATTGGAAAAGCCTCCCATTTGCCATTCTCTATGTTTCCCTTCATACAAGAAATGGATTCCTTAGAATTAGATTCGATAACAACATGGGTCAGACCCAACGATAAACCCAACTCACATCCACACCACAAAGCCATCGCTTCAGCACCGGCAACGCAAGGCGCACTGATCCTGGTTCTTCTAGCAGCAATGAAATTGCCAAAAGAATCCCGAACCACTGCCCCTGCAAAACCTTCTCCCGTGGCAGCATCCCAACTCGCATCAACGTTAATTTTTACAAAGGAAAGAACCGACGGCATCCAACTAACCTGCCCAGCACCACCAAGTCCATGCTGCACCATGTGCACAGAGGCACTATATTTCTCTCTCTTTCTCACTTCATGATAATTTGCGTTTTCACATTACATTATGCATGGCATGCGTGAGGATTTGTATTTTGTAATATGTGACATTTCACTGAAATAGAAATAAGTTAAGTTTTGTTTGGAAGTACTTTAAAATTACTAAAAACGTTTTTAAAAAATATGCTTTTGGGTTCCACAAGCACTTGAACTGTTTTCTCTGCAAGAAGAACCAGTGAAATGCTTCTTATAGGAAGCACTTTAAGTGTTTTTCCAGAATTTACTTATATTTTTACTAAAAATTATTTTAAAAGTATTTACACCAAAAACGTTTTCAGCCATTTTAAAAGTATTTTTAGACAAACTCTTAGTATTCGTGAGGCATTGTTAGTTAACTTTGTGTTAAAATAGAATGGAATCATCTTTTAAGATTAGTAGTAAAATGTGGCTTTCGATCTAATTGTGGCATTTTTGGTTCTTACACAAGTTCAATTTGGATTGCGATTACTTGAGCTTTTTGTCTGCAATGGCATTTGCCATATTGACTAATATATGAACATTTTCACATTTACAGAATGTACATATTGGCACGCACAAACCAAATACAGCTAAGATTTCATTATGTATTGGAAGAAATCCTAAAGAGAAATGATACAGTGCTGAATAAGTTAAAAGGAAATGTTATTGATATGCTAAGAAAACATCATTTGAAACAACGAATGTCATCTACGTTGGATGACTTGATTCAATTATGGTTCATGACGATATACATTGGTTGCTCAAACAATTCTGCTAGTAGGGGTCAAATTTTCTACGCTCCATTCGTTGTCTTTTGATTCGCAACTTTCAATAGAAAAAACTCTCGTACAATTGAGTTATATAAAGAAAGCCTTCATACACTTCTCCCGTACAAAAATATAAGAGAAAAATTATATCTTAAAAAACGCGTGATGATTTCATTGAAATGTCAATAACTATCTTTTTAAAAACTTTATTTCATTAATCGAGGATTTTAGGTTTAACAACCAACTATTAACAAAAGATCAATTATGTTTGAATTTGACATCACCTTTTCTCATATGTTAAATTTGACATATGAAAACTTATATGTCAATCGACATAAGATTGACATATCGGTTGGATCTTACTTTTACCTTCAAATTTAATTACATAACATTCCACTTAAGATTTGACATCTCATTTGAAGATGATTTTACACATCTTTTATTCGTTTTAGTTTATTCACTTGGCATCGCTCCATAAGCGTTGTGTGTAAGTTCTTATCCATTTAGACACCGTACCTGAGCCCTAGCCACTTTTTGAGCCGGTTCAGCGGTTCACGCCCTTTCAGTCTAAGTCAAACAACAATATCACCCTCGAATACCTTTCAAATTACAAAATCGCCCTCGATTACCTTTCCCCATTTTCCCACCGCTCCATTTCCACTGAGCAAGGTTCTGATCAGAGACCGAGAGAAAAAATAAGAAGATGATACCGCATCAATGGGGGTCTCCGTGCGGCAACCAATGCACGCACAAGTACGCAGCTCTTATGCAGATTCCATGTAAACCCATTTTCCGCCTCACTCTCTCTGACATTTTGCTTCCTCCTGGATCTTTGATTTTAGTTTCTTTTGATTTTCGTTTTCGTTTACTAATTTTATTTTTTTGCTCTAATTTTGGACATTTCGCTTGTTTTCACGCTCGAAATGATACTGATACCAAAATTATCGCGCTGTTTATGTTAAATCTGGTGTTGGGTAATTCACGTCGTTGATGGATTGCAGAAATTTTCGACCCCTACTTTTGATTTCTGTATTTTGTACGATCAATTTTGACGAATGTTTCGTTTTTTATTACGGAAATTAACCGGTAAATTAGGGTTTGATTAATGATTGCTTTAGGTACACGCAAGCACCGGAATTCCAGTTTGAATAGTGATCAAATATTGATTCTTTAAAATCAAAACTAATGAAAAGAACTTGAAAACTTTGAATTTAATAAAATGATAAAAATAGGTTGTAAGTGAATAGTACCATGAATGATTTTTTTAGAGTAAAAATATCATTTTTGTTAAAAGTGAATAGTACCATGAGTGTTTAATTACAACTCAATTCTTTAAAACCTTGATTTATTACCCTGATCATTGTATGGTTTTCTTGTAGGGAGAGTATTTTGCAAAAAAGGGTGCGAAGCGGATAGAGAAACTCGGGAAGAATGTGAGTATTGACTTGTTCTTCACTTCAGTTTTCGTATGAACATACATCGATGAGAATTTATGTTCGGTTTTGTTCTTTCTCCATTATGAATTTCCCTTTTGTCACCTTGATGTTTACGGACACATTACGAAAATGGTGTTTCTAAGAACCCTTTGGCTACCTATTGAGTACTGACTTCGATTATGCTGTGGGAAGTTTCCCATCTGCATTAACTTTTGGTTGGTGCGTTAACTTCGCTCTTCTGATATCTGTATCTGAAACTTGACATGGAAGTAGACTATTGGTTTAAAGAGTTAGTACGCTACTAGATACGAATATGGTTTCGTACATAAGTAATTCAAGTGATATAGCGAGTAGATATAATACAGGCTTGGAGGAGTGCAATGAGATATGCTATAAGGATCCTGTCTTAAGGGACCAACAATGGAGAGCTTGCATTGACCGTTCTCCCGGAGTTGACAGGTACTCAGAGGTATGTATCCCTCTACAGCTTCTTCTTAGCATGCTAATGCGTACGTTGAGCAGCAAGTAACATTTTGTGAAAATATAAACACATGATCATGTTTGTTAAATCTATATGGCCTCTTGCATCAAATCAAGTCCAAAGGTTGCAGGTGGTAGTGTCAGTGTCATTCACTATAGTAGCCTCTGGACTCTCAAAATTTTAACTTAATCTGTTATAACTGACATTTTTAATAATTCCGATTGATCGAGTATTATAGTTGTATTTAAGGTGAAAAGTAGGAGAGTGTAAACTTGACTTATGTTTATATTTACACCCTTCATTGAACAGTCTCTGTATGTCGAAAGATTCATATGGTTGCATATCATCCTCGTCCTAGAGCATGGTTCTGATCCGGTGCACATTTTTTCAGATGAGTTATTGCTGATCCGATTCTATGTGCAGGAGTGTTTTCATGCTTGTGTATCTGGTTGCGGTTTCAAGGTTAGTCCGTTCTCAACCCGGTAAAGTTCTGGTTACATTTTATCTAGGATGAATATTTAGAAAGTTATAACGTTCCTCGATCTTGCAGTTTGATAAAAATCCAGACATAGCTGATAAAGTTCGTCCAAACAGGCGGGCTAAGCCTCCCCCTGTTGAAAAGCCCGCCGCACCACCTGCTGAATCCACGGCAACAGCCGAAGACATATCAACAGCCGAAGACATTCTTGGCACTTCTGCATAGTGAGAGAAAAAGAATGAGGATCCTCTAGGATCCTGGGATCCTCGAATCGTATTCGTTCATCGTACATCATGCGGTTAGAAATTATTTTAAATACTTTTATTTAAAATTAAATATAAATAGTATTTGTCAAAAACTGACCGTACAATATACGATGAATAGTCTCGATTTGAGGATCCGTAGAGGATCCTCCTGGAGAGAAAAACCTAACTATACTACAAAATGGATAACTTTAGTTAGTTGCAGGATTTCTTGTTCTTTTTCCTATTTATAGTCCTTACGCGTCGACTAACATCCGGGCTTCCCGATTCTTTGACAGTAAAAACACGTTGGAAATGTTATTTGTAGACTGGATTCTTATTCTGTTGAACTGGAGTTGGAGACGATTTAATTGTTATCGATACATTTGCAAGTTCAGTGCTCGGAAAAATGTTTGAGAAAATAAATTAGTCATGAAGGAAATTTCTCCCTTCTATAACGTTCTACTTCTAAATTGGATCTCTATTTCTTGCTTCAAATTAGATGTAGCAAGTTATTCACTCTAATTCAATCCTAGGCTAGTAGCAACCAACGAGGCGTTAAGGCATATTAATAATGTGGTGTGGTTAGCGGTGTCACATTGAAAAAAAAAACGAAGCATTGGGTTTGCATATAAAGTAGCGTTCTCTTTTGGTTGAGCATAATTGTATTAGTTAAAACGGGCTCTCATTTGACCCGTCACTACACTTTAAAACTAAACTAACTTTGTTCCACACGCATACAAGTGTAGCAATTGACCTTTTTAGTTTTTTTTTTTTTTTGTAGTTTTAAAATATTTTTATTTTATTTAAATTTGATTTACAATTTTTTAATAAATATTTTTTAAAATAATAATATTTTGGTATTATGAAAGCTTCGCCATTTTCTTTTATTAATATTTTCACTAAATTTTGGTGAAAAAAAAAAAGAAAAAGAAAAATGAGTTTAGCCTCTCTCCATAAAAAAAAGGTACCAGACTCACGAACACGTCGGAAAAACTAGACTAAACGTACCAGAAAGTGATCCAAGACGGTCTCCGGCGCTCTTCAATCATCAGAGAAAATCACAAATACGACGTCACTTTGTCGACTTCCAGTCACACTCACACTGAACACACAGAAGAGTCCAAGAAACGCAATCTGCAAATTTGTACCCTTGAATTTAATTTCAACATTTTCAAAACTCCGATTTATTTGAATTTTGTGTATTTGGGAGGGGATTGATTCTTGAAGCTCAGAGAAACCCTAGCATCTCAGAGCGGAGAAGAACAAAGATGCCTCAGGTGAGGATCATAGCGAAGAATTTCATGGACATGGTGGCCGCCTTGCCCTCCATGAAGCTCGACAAGCTCTACGAAAATGCTTTCATCTGCGAGGCAATTCTCAGGTCTCCACCTTTTCCGCTTTTCTTACTTCAATCTTTCTTCGCTTTCGCAATGTCGAGTATTAGCTTTATTTGCTCACCGATTTTCGGGTTGATTTTTTGTTTTTGTTTGTTGATTGAGTGCATATGGAACCAGCCTGTAGTCTTTGATGAGTGAGCGAGTGAGTGAATAATCATCTAGCTGCAATTTTTGGGTTTCGGTTTTTTTTTTTTTTTCGCATTGTGGCACAATAGCTTTGATTACTGATTTGGTTTTGGGTTATTTTGCGTTTGTGTTATGTGATTAGTGCATATGAACGAGCCGAGCCTGTAATATTTAGTGATAATCATACAGGTTGAATTTTCAGGTTTCGGGTTGCTTTCGCAATGTCACGTATTAGCCTTGTTTACTTGGGTTGTTTTTGAGTTTATGTTTGTCGATTAAGTGCATATGAACCAGCTTAGTGCTAATCATAAAGCTGCAACCTACAGGTCACTGCCACCGCTAGCCAAGAAATATGTCTTGCAAATGCTATCCATTGAAGTTCCGGTGACTGCCAAGTCAATGGAGGAGTGGGTGCTTCCTGATGGGGTCTCAAAGCATAGAGTTGCAATTGATCGCCTGATTCAATTGAGAATATTTACAGAAACCGTGGGCAGGTGATCCGAGCTTTCTTTTATGGTTTTCCAGAACACGTTTTGATGCTGGGTGATGTCATCTTTTTTAAATTGTTTTCATTTTTGACTTTATGACAGGAAGAGGGAAGCAACTTACACCTTCAATCCTATATTTCAGACTAATCTCAAGAAGCTTTTGGTACATGGGTGAGTATTATGTCCTCTACTTGCTACTATTTGTGTGTATATGAGGTTTGGGGATCAAAATAATTACAAGATAGTGGGTTATGCATTATGTATAGGGTTCAGTCATGCAAAGTTTCAGGGTCTCCATTCATTAGTTCACTTTAGCTACAATTTCTTATTCTCTAAGCTGTGATCGAAACAGAGAGTGAGTTTTAGGATTATAACTCCATACTTTTGGATACTGCAGTGTGGTTTTGCCAAGAGAACCAATGCCTTCAAATATCACAGTGAGGCTCCCTAGCTTGGAGGATCTTGAGGCTTTTGCCCTAGAACAATGGGAGGTGCAGGATTCATCCTTGCATCTATTACCTTTTTGAATTTTATGATTGTGTTTTCAGATCTTTTGTCTGCCTTTTGTGTACTGCGGTGACTATGATATAGTTGCATATATTATCATTTATTTCGTATCGTGAAGTTTATAATTTAGGTTTGCCCTTCTTTATGACTTGCTGTCATGTAATGCCAGTGTTTCTTGCTGCAACTTATCAACTCATCTCAAATTGAGAGGCCATCGAACATCAGTTCGTCTATGATGAAAACATTCCAGCGAGGTCTTTTGAGTCAAAGGTCCTTACTTTTGTTATTACTTTTTCCTGCTACACAAGCATGTCTTTCTTTTGCACATATGAAAAGTTTAACATTGTATCTCATATCTGATGTCAGGGTTTTCCATTATCTGTTTGTACAGGGATAGAGAAGCTCCGAGATTAACTGAAAGTGGTTTCCAGTTCTTGGTATACAACAAACCGCTTCAACTGCTTGCACACAATATGTTTGATTTTTCTTAATTCTTACTGGATTTTATTTCTACTATGTGAACACCACAGTTGATGGATACAAATGCGCAACTATGGTACATCATTAGAGAGTATATCTCTAACTCGGAGGTATGGATTCATGAAATTGTTGGTTGTTGGTTCCTTTCAAGACCATTAACCTGATATTTTTTGCTTGTAACTCTGTACACTGACCTTCTATCAAGGTTCCAAGTAGTTTATCAAGTACTAGAAAAGCTAAATTTAGAACTGATTTGTGATCGAATGTTGCAGAATTCGTTTGCAGGTTTATCTTTCCAGGGCTTAGATTCATATTGAAAACCAAATTTCTTTAGTATTTTTATTTTATTCTGTTTGTATTCCTATGATGAAATAAGGAAAATTTTACCTAACGTGTTTCATTGCACACTTGAGTTAGAAGTTGAACGTACATTGTCACTGTTGTCTGTGATGTTGACAGTTATCCTACACTAATTTATTGAGATGAAATGAAAGTGCAACTTAAGTTTTTCTTCACACTAGCTGTGTTGTTGAGTTTCATCTTATATCTGGTCTCTCCCCACCTTTTTTCTTTGGTGCAGGAGCGTGGGTTAGATTCTGCAGATTTGATTTCATTCCTGCTGGAACTTAGTTTTCATGTTACAGGCGAGGTATTAGTTATATGCTCTTTATACATGACTATTCTCTTGCAGTAACATATGCTAAATTTCCACATTTTTTTTTTCTGGCTACTAGTTTTTTTCCGACTGGAATATAAATAGTGCTGCAGTAAGGAAGAACTTTTCATAGTTTTCAATTCATTATTTCTTTGTAGAAAAGTGTTTTCTTCCACATGGGAAGTTTCTACCTGGAATTTATCTCTCACCTCTTGATTCTATTCTCTTTTTTGTGTGTTAGGCATATAACATAAATACGTTGAATGAGAGGCAGAAGAATATAGTCAAGGATCTTGCAGATTTGGGGCTGATCAAACTTCAGCAGGTTATACTTATGTTATTTATTTTTGGTATTACATTTTGCTAATAATTTCCCAGATGATAGTTTAACCATGTCCTGACCTCAAGTTTTACATTGCTGTCCTTTTGTGTACTTATCCAGGGCAGGAAAGACAGTTGGTTTATACCTACTAAATTAGCTACTAATCTTTCAGTTAGCTTGACAGACTCATCATCGAGGAAACAGGTAGGTTATTTGTACTCATTCTAGCTTTGTCTCTAATTGGTTATTCTGCAACTGATTCCTAATCACCAAGAAAACCGATGTGCATTTCGTGTGCTACTTACGAATTTTTTACTCACTTTTTTGTTCAGGGATTTGTTGTTGTAGAAACAAACTTCAGACTCTATGCCTACTCAACATCTAAATTACATTGTGAAATTTTACGTCTTTTCTCAAGGTATGCTGACCAATTTGTCGATCAACTGTCTTGTACAGTTTGCAGTTTCTGTTTTCTTTTACTCATGAGACATGTGAAAGAATCATTGCATGCTGTTCAGATATTATTTTCTATCCGTTTAATTATGGCCTAGACATTGCTGAAAGCACAAAGAGATGTATATTTTATTTTCTGATAGATATAAGAAAGATGGTAGAAGAAAATCAAGACAAGCTTGTGTGTATGTATATAAGGTTTTAATAATAGGCATCTATAAAACACTTCCATGGTTGCATTTTTTGCAAAGAACAAAGACTTATAAATTCAGTTTTGGATCTCCTGCCTCTGAATTTTCTCATCCTAGGGTCAGGCTGGACCTTTCCGTTATTAAGGGGGAGAGGTAGCATTTGGCTACAATGGGTGGTGTCGTTGTTTTGGTTGTGTTGGTATCTGAGTACTTCTTGTTCTTGTTAATTGCTGACTTCTGAGTTAAGTTTTTATTTATTTTCTTACTAGAATTTCTTCTTCTACCCTGTGCAGGGTAGAATATCAACTTCCAAACCTTATTGTTGGAGCAATAACAAAAGAAAGTTTGTATAGTGCTTTTGAAAATGGCATTACTGCAGATCAGGCAAATATTGGCTTTTCGTTACTCTACTTTTAGTTTTCAGTACAAGTCTAAGTACTTTTGGCTATGCTTTGTCCTTCTCCTCAAGTTGTCTGAGAGCCGTGGAAAAACAATTGTGTACTTAGTTGAGATATCTGCCCAGGTGATAACTGCCTCAATTCTTGTATGACAAATGAGTAAAACGATGGAGCCTTTCTAGGGATGTTCTGCTTCACAAGCTTAAGAATTAAGATGTTCTTAAATAGTCTTTCATGGTTTTTTTCTCCGTTTTATCTCTTATTCTTCCTTACGCGGAAAGATTTTAGATGACCTTCATTTTAGTTGCTAAGTTATCTTTGCTGTTTAGGGTTTTTCAAGCTTTCAATGTTCTTGGTTTAATTAGCGTATATTCCCCATGTGCTTATGGAAAAGGCTTCAATTGCTAGCACCTTTCTTTCTGTATGCACACACATGCACATCCTCCCAAGTCACATGGGAGAAAAGGGTTGCTGAAGTTGTTTCTGGAGTGCTGGAAGTCTAATGGTTTTTTAATTTTTTGGCAGATAATTTCTTTTCTTCAGCAAAATGCACATCCACGTGTTGCGGAGAGAGTACCATCTGTACCTGAGAATGTCACAGATCAGGTTCGATCCTTCTCTAACTTCATGTTTGAATTCAGCAAGATATTCGAGAGTTCAATTTGCTTGACTTCGATCAAGAAAAATGTCCAATATCAAGCTCAGCTATGCTCTTATATAAACATAATGAGCTCTTTGAATTGGATAGTTATTATTATGTTATGTTGTAAGGGACTTCCATGCATGTTGGTATTCTGACATTTTCAAATTCACTTGCATCTGACAGATTAGGCTGTGGGAAACAGATCTGAATAGGGTTGAGATGACTCTAGCTTATTATTACGATGAATTTCCAACCAGGGTGACAATCCACTTACCAAAATCGACGTCTGTATTTATTTATTTTTATGTGTTTATGATTTTTCTAAGATTTCTCTGTTAAAACTGCCAGGATCTTCTTGAGGGTACTTCTGACTTTGCGCGAGGCTATAATGCTCTGCTATGGGAGGAGCCAGATTCGAAAAAGATGCGTTTAGTGGTCAAGGCAGAAAACCACACGCACATGAAAGAATATCTTAGCCGTCAAAGGCAGTAGGTCCGTTATCAGTTCTGCACAGCTCAATACGATCATATCCTGGAGAACCTTGCTTGCAGTCATACCTTCGGAAGTATTAACATTATCAGAAAACGAGGCAGAGATCGATTCTGTTGAAATCGGATGGTTGGCATGTTGCAGCGAACAATCGCAAGATGAATGCGGAATTCTGGTAATTTTGGCTGAATATATCTAAACACTAGGAGATGGAATATGCCGTGGGCAAAACGGATGAGGAAATTTGAAAAATTGGAAGAGAAAAGTAGTAATTTCCCTGCTTGTATTAACAGACAGATTATGATCATTCAATTTTGCTTTCCAGTCATTTCCAAATCATGTGTTATTTATTGGGAAGGTTTTAACGTTGTGTATTGAATTTCGCCGGTAAATATTTTGTTGATATTGCAATGTACATGGTTCGGCTGAATATACAGTCGACGTGGTTTACGAACCATTTTGTGGGAAGTCCGAGGCTCGATTCTTCTCAACACGAGGTCTTCCAATATCCTTGTATTAATGACATGATTTGTAGCCAGGTTTAGTTGCCGAATGAATGCAATGTCTCGTCCTGCGCACCTAAACATTAAATTCATCTATAATGTGATTGTTTATTTAATAAGGCGATACTCAAAACTACTTTAATATACAGGAGGAGGTTTCGATTTGTGTGCAAGCCTGCCAGGGACATACATTGTCTTGATTGAATGAGGATCCTCTTCGGATCCTCTAATCACATATGTTCATCATATATCATGCGGTCAGTTTTCGTCAGGTACTGTTTATAAATAATTTTAAATAAAAAGTGGATCCGGAGAGAATCCTCATTTGTCTTGACCAATCATCTTAAAAAATTAAAAAGAAGGAAAATTAAAAAAAAAGTGGATATTTGTTGCTGCCCAGGATCGAACTGGAGACCTTTAGTGTGTAAGACTAACGTGATAACCACTACACCACAGCAACTTATTAATTGTATATCCGAAGTCTATAATATAACGTAAATTATTCTAGTCCTACTAGTGTGTGAAATTTCTTCGATGATCGGTGTTCCCATTGAAATTTTGAAAAAATCAGAAAAAGATATGGAAAAAGGGTTTGAAGTCTAAGCATCGTCCCGTATCGTAAAAACTCTTAAATTTCAGCTAAAATTAACAAATTCCGTTGATATTTTTGACATATCTGTTAAATATCGACAAACTGCCGTATGATATTCCTTAAAGTTTCATTTTAAATTTCCACACTTAAGGAGCAAATTTCCATCATTCATATCGAAGGCAACTGATATCAATATCGATATATTTATCGATAATCCATCAATTTGTACATCAATATTTTTACCGATACCGACTGATTCCTGCCACCTCACGATAGACATTATAACATGCAGCGTAGGATTGGAACAGACCAACATATCAGATCACATGACAAAATCTACACACACAAAATCATAATAAAAGGACACATTACTCACTTTCTTAGAAATTTCCTACTCGGCACTTCTCACCAAGTTTCTTCAACATAATTAAAGTTGTACCTCTACCTCTTAATCATTAACATAAATTCGGGAGCCAAAAACATCGAACTTAAACGTTGCATGCTTGCAAGTATTCTTACTTTGAAGCGCTTTTATTTGTCGGAAAACATTTTCAGAAGCCGAGATTTGATTGGTGGGATTAATCTTGCTGTGTCCAAGTTGAAGAAGCTTTGGTAGTCACTAGCTACTACGATGGCGGCAACAGTTGCAAGAATCTGCCTGCAGTCAGTGCTGAAAGCAGTGAACTCACTTTTGGGAATGGTTGGAATTGCAATGCTTTTGTATGGTCTTTGGATGGTTAGGGTTTGGCTGAGGGACTTTGACGGTTCACCCTTTGATCATCATAATGTTTTTCCTCCATGGTAAGAACCCTGCCAATTGTTAATATGGTGTCGCAGCTGCGACTGTGCCAAATCCCCCTTACGAAGGGTTATGCATAAATATTTTCGAAAAAGCAAATTTCATAGTTTTTCACACGTTGCTGACATATTTTCGTGTACTATTAATGGTAGTAATCCTTTTTGTTGGCGACCATGATATCGACGCATTGTTGATGGCAGGTTTATATGCACTTCTCTTGGCGCTGGATTTACCTTATGCATGGTAACATGCATAGGTCTTGTTGCTGCAAAGTATGCAAATGGTTGTTGCCTCTCTTTTGTATCCTTCTCTCATTTTGTACAAAGATTGTTGCAAACTTGATTTTATCTTATGTTCGATAGATTCTAACGTGTGACAGGGTGTAAATCGTCCTATTAGTATTTATGCATCACGTGATACGGGAGATAATAATGGAGCCGTGTAGACACCCGGTTGTCCCCAAAAACGTTATTTATGTTGACCTTGAACGAGTTTTAGTACATGTTGATCATCTTTTTGGTGATTCTATTGGAGTTTGCAGTGGCTGCAGATATACTTTTAAATTCAGAATGGGAGAAGGTAAACATCTTGGGAACCACACTTTGCATTATTCGAGGTGGGTTAAGCTAGCAGGTTAAAGCACTGTGATCGCCTTTTTACGCCCAATTTTGGATCTTTTTTAATATATTATAGCAATTTAGAATATCGTCTTGTTTTTGCTCTAGCTTAATTTGTTCTTCAATTTTCAGGATTTACCATATGACCCGACGGGAAAGTTCAATGATTTCAAAGATTTTGTCGAGTCAAACTTAGACATATTTCAGTGGATAGGTTTGTTCATCGTTTTAGCACAGGTAACTTCCAAAGTGTTTTTTATGACGACTTCGATATCAAATTAGGTTGTTCGTTATGCAATTTAGCCGAACTCCTCCTCTCATTAGTGTAAAAATATTGATGTATTAAAAAAAAAACTTCCAAGTGTTTTTCACAAGTGAGCCCTTTGAGTGTTGCTTGCTAATATTATCAGTTGTCATCGAGACTAAATAGATAATCTGCAGGGGTTGTCAATCGTACTAGCCACAGCTCTAAGGTCTGCAGGGCCAAACCGAAGATCCAGCTACGACGGCGATGAAGAGTGTCCCTCGGAAAGACTCCCGCTCATAAACCCTAATGGTCACCGGCCGGAATACATTATCGCTGCCAAAAACGGTAATTGGAATGTAAGAATTCACTCCTAAACTTGCAATCTCACTGCCTCGATTTCTTTTATTTTATGAGACCCTTGATGCATCAGTTTCTGAAAATCTTTCTTAGTCAAGCAAGTAATGTAGAACAAAAGGCTGGGTGGATTGAGAGGAGAATGGACTGACGGAAGTCTAAAAGACGCAGCGAGAATTTGCATATTTGGCATTCGAGTCCCGATGTAGACCCATGATACCTTTGTGGAAAGAGATTGACGTCCATTTCAAACTCATAGCTTTGTTATGACGTATGATGTATTTTGGTCATCCGAGGCTGTTTAGACTTCCAAAATTGCATTTCGAATTATGTAATAAAAATCAAACTTTTCTTTTGTTGTCTGATTAATGTCGTTTTGCTTTTATTTAATTTCTTAAGGCCTTTGAGTTATCCCAGGGTGTTGTAATCAAGTTACTTAAACAATTCACTGTCTCCTATTGTAATCATCTTTCTTCCAATCACTAATAAATCAAACCCTTTGGAATTTCTCTCCAAACTTGGTGGACTCCAAAACTCGTTCTTCAAGGGCTTACGTTGGTATCCCTGTTAGTTTCGTCCTTAGTTCCGCATTAGGGTTCCTAGAATCATATTTCAAGTAGTCGTGTTGTTTTTCCACCTGGGTTTACTTCTTTTGGTTCAACAATTTCTTGACCTTTGCTAGCGTAAGTGGCCCACGCAAGGGTGGATGGCCAAACGACTATAGCATCCCTCGAATCTCTTTCCATCTTTCAAATAAATACTAAAATAAAATAAAAATAAAAATAAAAAAGACGAACTCAGTTTACGTATATATAATTAGGGTTCATAGCTTAAACAAAATGTCTTTTCCAATTGCTCTAATTAATGAATAAATAACTTCCTTTTCGTCAGTCTATGCTACAGCGTAAACAAATAACCCTTTTAAGAACCAGGAAAGAATACAAAAAAATGGAACAAATTGATGCAGAAGAGAGAATCTATTCAGATTTTGTTGCCTTTCTCTTCATTCGACTGAACGGTCCAACTGTTCGATCCGCTATGTACATGTAGATCACTTGGCTCCAAGATTTATACGACTCCAAACCCTCGTAGTATTCCGGTGCAATGTCCTTCACCTTATGAAGCTTGCTCCCGGGAATTCTGGGGAAATCATGGTGCTCGTTGTGGTAGCCTACGTGCCAAGCTAGAAGATTGAGAGGGCCATAGTAAGAATACGTCTCTTGATCAGGGTTGAAGACATAGTGCTCTGAAATGAAGTGACCCGCCATTGGGTGCATCCCACCGCCGACAAATGTAGAGAGGATCAAGTAAGCAAAAGATTTCCAGCCGCAAAAGTAGACCATTGCAACATCGAGGGCTATCTGAATGAAGAGGTTGAGGAACTCCCAGTAACCAGGGGGTTTCGGTTTGAGAAACACAGGACGAAGGGCATAGAAGAAGAGTTGAAGGAGAACCCAAATGGATTTCGTGACCACATTTGTCACCACATGAGCCTCAACCTTGCTCGGGATGTCCATATCAATGCCGTCTACTCCCTGGAAGCGGTGGTGCTCAAGGTGATATTTTTGAAAGGTGACAGACATGGGAACACCAATCGGGAGGTTAGCAAAAATACCAAGCCAACGGTTGTAGACTGGGGTCGAGAAGGCGAGATTGTGACTGAGCTCATGGATGGCCAAGAAGAGGTTGTGGTTGAGAAATGAGCCAAAAAAGTAGGCTATCGCTAGTATCTTCAGCCAGCCTGCATTGTGGAGGGCTGTAGCAGTCCCGAGCTGAAGTAACACAACCACCGTAATCTGCAGCACCATGATTCAATACAAGGTCATCACGCGAAAATATAATACAGCTGATCAAAACATGTAAGTTTCAGTTCATCTCAAACCAGACAACTAACAATACTCAAGACAAAATCCGCAAATTGACAAGTTGAATTAGGTTCTAGAAACTGAATTTGAAAGACCAAACTAGAACTAGTACATTAGCAATAGCAACACGTTACACAAGTCATCAACACTAATTGCAGAGCTCCACAAACTAATAGGTTAAACTATGTTCTCAAAGATCGAATTGCAATGTCTTTGATTAAGGTTGTTCTTTCATTCTAAGATTCGATTCACACGAAAAATTATGAATGATATATCAAGTGAGGAAGCACATTCACAACAATATAAATCCCCAATAGCATATGACCAATTGTTCAAAACATCTTAAATCACGATATTTCGCTGCGAAAACTAACATCTGAGAAAGCAGTGCAGTTCTACATACTTGAAATAAACAATAACAGCTGAAAAATGGATCCGGGGATTCAAAAGTCGAAACTCAACTCTTATATGAAGGTTTTGGACAACACAAAGATGCTTCGCATCCAAATTTCGCAACAAAATTCCGAAAAGCGGAAAGCTTTCGATACCCAATTGCAGAAACGAATCAAAATCACATTCAAACCATGTTCTTGGAATCACCCGCATTGTCACAGATCTAAAAACCAATGAAAAAAACAAGCAGAAACAGGCAAACCACAGAAAACCCAACAAAACTGGCGGACTGAATTTCTGGAAAGACAAAGTGTGGAGGGAAATACCTTGAGGAAAGCCCAGGGGTCGGGACCGAAGAGCTCCTTAATCTGAGGGTACTGAGAGAGGATCTGACGGCGCCTAGAAGCGTGAGGCTCATCCGTGTAGGACCAGAAGAAGTCTGTAGCCATCACTCCCTCCTCTTCTGCTGCCTCTCTCTCACCCCCTCCTCCCATCTCTCTCTCCTCCTCCTCTCTCTCTCGAAAGACCCTTTCTTTCCTTCTCTCTTGTTTTCCTGGCTCTCTCTCTCTCTCTCTCTCTCTCTCTCTCTGATTCTCCTTGAATGTGAGCTGTTTTCAATTTGTTTAAAATTATTAGAATTAATTGGGTAAATCGCTGGATTTTGTTCAAATTTGGCAAAGCCGTGCAAGGGGAGTGGCTAAAATTATGGGGCCCCAGATATTCTGTGGTATGTGGACTTGTTTGCCAACCGGAAAGTAATTGTGTCCTTTTCACCTTTTGAAGCTTTTAGTTATGTGTTTTTCCCTTGTATATATGACAAGGACACCAAAAGCCACATACGTTAACAGCTCTTCTTGTATTAAAATTGTTGTATAACTAAGAAGCTGACCATGTCGCATGTCTGACCATTTAACGTTGAATTATTCATCCGCATGGCATTATGTTAACAGTTATCAGCTTGTCGTTTGATTTATTACTTCAATTACGTAGCTGTTGATATGCTCGCTAGTGAAAGTCTACGCGGAAACCAACTAATGTGATATTGTGTTATTGGCTGCTTACAGTTTGTAAGGTGGCCTCGTCCAAATTTTTTTGGCGGTATACATGGGATTGCGATCCTCTTCGGATCTTATACTCCGAAGTTCACATTGGATCGTACAAGAAAGAGAGATATGGGTATTACTTCAAAGGGCTATATGACTCGTTTTAACCTTGTCACAAAAAACCTTCTTCAACCGAAAGCTAAAAAACTATAGTATGGAATGTAAAGAATTGAAATAAAATAATGTAAAATAGTATAGAATGGTAAAAAATACGTGAGAAATAGTGTAGGAAAGAAAAATTAGAAATTAAAAAAAAAAACGTCCAAAAAAAAAAAAAAAAGTGGCCTGGGCATAAAAACAAAAAAACAAAAAATGGGCTGGGATTACAAAAAAAATAAAACCTAAGCCCTAAATCTTAAAATGGGTTGGGCAAATGGGAAAGAACAAAAAAACAAAATGAAATTGGGCTAGCTGGATGACCAGCCAGTTGGCCCCTTTGGCCATTTTTTATCCAATAGGGCCATAGGCCCTTTAGCCTTTTTCTTGTCCAATAGGACCCACAAACCCTTTGGCCTGACCTTTAGTTGGAGACGATTTTCAGGTTAATTTCAAACCTCTGGACCCTTCAGTTGAAGATGACCTCGTATAACCTCATACATGGTCAAGAGATAGGATACTCGCCGGATCCTCTGTGTGAGGATTCAAAGAATCCTTTAATCATGTATGTGCATCGTACATCTTACGGTCAGTTTTCATCAGGTACTGTTTATGTTCAATTTTAAATAATATAATTAAAATGATTTACAACCACATGATGTACGACGAAATTACATAATTAAAAGATCCCCGGAATCCTCACAAAAAAGATCATATCTCCATGGTCAATCACTCATACTAGCCAGGTTGGCAGAAGGGTCCCACCCATGTGTACATTAGCAATGCTTTTATAGATAGTACTCGTCTATAAAACCTTCAATTCATAAACGCTTATCGAAGCACAACAAGATTCTTATTTGAAATCGAAATGCCCCTTGAAAATAGACGCTTTTCCAAAAGAGCGACAAACACGGCTAAAACTGCTTCTAGTTATCTGAAAGCACTTTTAGTTGTTTCAAAGCATGCACTAATGAATATATGCTAACAAACAAAATGATGAGAACAATAGGCCAATACGCGCCCATGAAAACAGCAGTCTACTTACCAGTTCAGTTGTCCATTATTTCAGGAACAATAAACACAGTTGAAGCCCATCCATCTTCAAAGCGTTAGGTATATCAGTCGCAACTTGGGACGAAGAAACATGAACTCAGTATTCTCATCAACTCGAAATTCTCACCACATTATGTTCTTCCATCTCTGCCTGCTTCCGAACAGTTCCTCCATCCGTTCCTCCGTCCATACCACTCAATTCAAAACAAGGAGAGGACTTGTATGTAAAAAACTAAGCCAACTTCAAAGCTGTACAAGCATGTACAAATTTACCCCACACAATTTATAAACTCCTCAACTTCACCCGCCAGCCTACAATAACTCAGGCTGGGTCTTGCAAACAGAAGTGGGAAGATCTTACACCCGCCGAATGAATTTTCGGTCCTTATGTAATCAAAAGAAAGGAAACTAGTCCATTAAATTGCCACGGGGGACTGGTTTTGGACCGCATTGATCACCTTAGGTGGGAATCATACGAGTCAAAAGGGTTATCCGGTGTAATAAGGGGCAACTTATCTATATACGTGAAAAGCCTCCTGAGATTCTCCCTCATCACTGTTTCCATGTCAATTATGTCCCTGCTGTCGGTGTAGACCCAGAGATCGCCCGAGTTCACTCTTTTAAGATTGTCACGACAGAAAGGGCACGACTGAGATCTTGTACGCCTGCAAATATGTCAACTGAGCGTTAGTCTCGCTCATATTCATGTATACAGAGAAATGAACCAGAAAAAAGAAATACTCATCTGGTCAGCGAACAAATCAATTTAAGAGTACAAGCTAGAACCATAGAAAATACACCATATGAAGTTAGGACTTGGGCGACGACAACTGGCTCAACTTTTAA